TAACTCTGTCTTGATAAAGTCCTTAGTTGTTTGCTTTATGTGTATTGTGTGGTGATGGAATGGGATTCATTATAGAAAAGTTGTTTTGTGTGGTAAGTTAAAGAATAAATAGAATTTATATAAGCTCTAAGCTTGTTATCCAATCCCAGTGAAATGATCTGTACATTGTATGTTATAACTATGCTTAATTGTTGAATGAGATACTGTTTAAATGAATAATAAATACCAACATTCTATGTCTTTTGACGCTTTTTACTATCATTAGTTAATTTACTACCATTTCAATAGGGGAATTAATGACACATGTTTAATGTTGTTCATAATATTGTAAGTGTCACCCTTGCGTGTATTTTGTTAGTATGTCCAAAAAAGCAACACTTGATGAAGGAGCGTTTATTGATGGACCCAAATGAATCAACACATTATTTAAACAACCATCATATAAAAAGGCAAATGTGATAAGTAGCAAAAATAGTGTACATGAATCTGATCTTATATGGATAACTAGTTCGAAGCGATGCAACCATAATGATAATATACAACATTTATATGGCGCCCAATACAATTCGTAAAATTACTCTAAGGCCCTTTACAACACACGAATGAAAGTATTACTACAGAATATAGTTATAGATATAGTAGATAACACAGCAAATCACCACTATACATTAAGTAATTAGAAGATAATTATCTCAATATGCATATAAATGAATATAAAGGGTGGTGTACATGTGTACATGACGTCTGTCCTAAAATGCAAACGTTGTTTGAATAGATTGAGTTAATCAAAAATTGAAATAGCTATACATAATTTATATCTCATAATTATGACCTTCTTAACTAAGTTACTTATAAAATATTTATTGCCATATATATATATATATATAGACGGTACGAGTTTGATAGCATATCAAATGGAAAATACTTCATTATCCTTCATAATACTCCCCGTAACAACGAGCGTAAGATTATTTGCCTGTTTTATATCATCTTTTTAATTAATGTATGAATTTATATGTTGTGATGACAGAAACCCTAATTAAATCTGTTAACAAATTAAAATATAAATGCCAGTTGCAGCTTTAGTTTACATTTGTTATTACGTTCATTTTTTTTTTGCAGTATTTAGCCATGAGCACTAGGCAAAATACATCGGAATGTCTTAATTAATCCGTCGACGCCAACAAGATAATTCTCTCATGTATTAGCAATTAGTGTTGGAAACAATTTAAACCATTAGTATACATTAGTAAACTTTTCGCTGACACGGTAATTGCATACAGTACGTCACCTTTACCTTAAACACAAGAATTCAACTTTCTATACGCCAACGGCAAACAAAACAAGTTGTCCGGTTTTTTTTAAAATAATTGCTGAGATTAAATATGGTCGAAGCGTTAACAGAATGTCTATAAAACACTAACACTACTGAATTGGGATGTACACTCAAGGTAACCAGCACAATGATCAGCCAGCACCAGTAAATCTGCGGATATTGACCATGTACTTCCCATGTTAATGCCTATTGGCAGTGTCTATTTATAGAACATTGGTACCGACAACCTATAAACTGACGTCACAATATATATAATGTAGTATTATGCTTAAAATGATTAGTCAAATATAAAAGTGAACGCTAGATATAAAGTATGAACGATCGAACAGCTTTCAAGCCAACAATGCATTCTGCGTAATGTCACGCCAGTATTTCACCATATCCGGTTCTCTATTTCTCGAAGAACTATATGTACATTTGATAGATATTTTACATTGACTGGCTCAGTCGTGTGGTTACTTCGAACTTTGATTATATTTAGCAATATTAACACAGACAAAACCCTTAACCACTGACGCAATCCAGTTATTTTGATTTATTTATTTACGAGAAATATATACCTTTTTTCTCTCAATATCATAGCATGGATTGTAACGAAACAAAACACCATCGATATCGTTTAGTTCAAAGCGTCTGGATATGCGTGCGAGTTCGAATCCCGGCGGCAGAGAAAATGTGTGTTTATATCTTTGTTTTTTTATGAAAGTATTACAATATGAGAAGATATCTTCGGTTATTTCCTCTTATTGAAAAAGTATGATCTTAGAAAATAAATACATCTTTTTTCTCATCAAGTCACTATGTGTTGTTATTGTTTTAATTTGTTAGGCATCCACCGAGTGAACATTAAAGCGCCAGTGCTTACCATTTGTTGTTTATTTATTTAACTTTATTTATATATCAATGCAAGAATGAAAAACGATCTTTTTAGTATGTGCTCAAAGATAATGCTAAACATCTTTACGCATGTTATATTTTCCTGTAATGTATTTATTTTTTTGTCATAAAAGATACAAATAAGAGAATACTGCAGAACCATAATTTGAACTCAAAACCGATAGATCGACCTAGGGCAAAATGTGAACGAAGGAAAGATGTACTCGGAGACACTACAAACAAGAGTATCGCGGGGCGAAACAATATACGCCCGTCGAATGCCATATAGTGTTATATATACTTTCTTACATTGAAATAAGATCTGCATCATTCTAAGAGTGTTTAGCCGACATGCTATAAAAAAATATAGGAGAAAAACTCCGGACCAAATTTCAAATACTGAAATGAACAAAGGGCAAGAACTATTGCAAAAATTGTCGAATCAAAATTCTTTTAAGGGAGACACAACTTCATATCATGATTATAATGTATACCATGTTTCAAAGAGATCGGTCGAAAAATGTAGGAGGAGATTGCCGGACAAGCAAAAAGTTTACGCCGGACGGCCGAACGGACGAACAACCCCATACCATCATACTTCCGTCAAATTTGACGGGCGTATAATAATACAAGGATAATAAGACCATGTGTTCTGGAAGGATAAGCTTCGTGTGCTCTTAGGTCATATCCAAGTAATAGCACGCCCTCGTGGCGGGAAACTGGGAAGTGAAAACAAAACACGTAGGAACACTTATGAGCATAATCAAGAACAAAGCCTAGGAAATAATTCCCAGGTCATTGCGACCATTAAAGTTGTCAAGTCTTCATTAACCTACCTACATCGTTGGGAACTGTGCTGTGTTTGTCAGTCAGCAGACGAGATATCTATCACGAAATACATGATATTCGGCCCATTTGTTTGTTTGTGTTTTACGTCCTGTTAACAGCTATATATGTTCCTTTGAAGGACGTACCAGGTTTTGGTGTTGGAGGAAAGCCGGAGTTCCCGAAGAAAAACCACTGACCTATGGCCGGTACGTATACCTGGCGACTGCCCTACGTATTCGGGCCAAGCTCTTGAATACCGAATCAACTGCACATATAAATACAGTAGATAGAGGAGGAGGGCTGTTACTGTCAAGAAAGGGTACAAAGTTAAAATCGTCCCGCTTATCGTACAGCTTAGTAGTTAGCTGCCCTGTTGGTCATGTTGTAAATAAAGACCGAGGAACGCGGCTGAAGTTGAAGAGTCTGCGGTGTCCTTGATTTCAAACACGATCATGGTCAGGATGGTATATACGATCGATGTGGCGAATAACATTTTGCGTCTCAAAGACAGTACATCGTCGATCTATCTAAATGTGATGTTGAAGGACTCCTTTGTTACCAATCTTGATAAGATTATCAATAAATTCAGCTTCATATAAAGCAAAAACAAGTCCGCCAGAATAGGACAGTTTGTTCCCATATTAATACCAACAGTCTGGTGTCGTGTAATTTGCCCTTGTGTTGACACTGTGGTATAATTTGTCCTTGTGTTGACACTGTGGTATAATTTGTTCTTGTGTTGACCTTGTGGTATAATTTGTCCTGTTTTTGAGACTGTGGTATAATTTGTCCTTGTGTTGACACAGTGGTATAATTTGTCCTTGTGTTGACACAGTGGTATAATTTGTCCTTGTGTTGACACTGTGGTATAATTTGTCCTTATGTTGACACTGTGGTATAATTTGTCCTTATGTTGACACTGTGGTATAATTTGTCCTTGTATTTATACTTTGGTATAATTTGTCCTTGTGTTGACACTGTGGTATAATTTGTCCTTATGTTGACACTGTGGTATAATTTGTCCTGTTGTTGACACTGTTGTATAATTTGTCCTTGTGTTGACCTTGTGGTATAATTTGTCCTGTTTTTGACACTGTGGTATAATTTGTCCTTGTGTTGACACTGTGGTATAATTTGTCCTTGTGTTGACACTGTGGTATAATTTGTCCTTGTGTTGACACTGTGGTATAATTTGTCCTTGTGTTGACACTGTGGTATAATTTGTCCTTGTGTTGACACTGTGGTATAATTTGTCCTTGTGTTGACACTGTGGTATAATTTGTCCTTGTGTTGACACTGTGGTATAATTTGTCCTTGTGTTGACACTGTGGTATAATTTGTCCTTGTGTTGACACTGTGGTATAATTTGTCCTTGTGTTGACACTGTGGTATAATTTGTCCTTGTGTTGACACTGTGGTATAATTTGTCCTTGTGTTGACACTGTGGTATAATTTGTCCTTGTGTTGACACAGTGATATAATTTGTCCCTATGTTGACACAGTGATATAATTTGTCCTTGTGTTGACAGTGATATAATTTGTCCCTATGTTGACAGTGATATAATTTGTCCTTGTGTTGACACTGTTGTATAATTTGTCCTTGTGTTGACACTGTGATATAATTTGTCCTTGTGTTGACACTGTGGTATAATTTGTCCCTATGTTGACACAGTGATATAATTTGTCCTTGTGTTGACACAGTGGTATAATTTGTCCTTGTGTTGACAGTGATATAATTTGTCCTTGTGTTGACACTGTGGTATAATTTGTCCTTGCGTTGACACTGTGGTATAACTGTTTCCGAGTTGGTCACTGATATATTTTGTCCTGGTGTTGGTACTGTATAGTATATTTTGTCCTTATGTTTATATATCACAATTTGTGATATATTATTTTCTTAAGAGATTGTAGATGTGTAAGCTGATGAAAATCGAGAAAATGATTGGCAAAAAGGCATCTGTTCAGAAATATATTTTATTATTCTGTGATGATGTGGTAACAACAAGGATTAAGTGGACATGACCTTGAAACATGAATCTGACCTTGAGGTTTACAATGATTTTCATATAAAATGCATTTATTATGTAATATATTTTTTTGTTTTGTTTAAAAAGGATTTGTTGTCTATGTACAGTATAAAATTGCATGTAATTCAAGAAAAGAAAAAAAAATCTGAAACATAATAGGTACATTTATCAAGAAAACTGTGTATTTTCTATAGATTATTCTGATACCTTGGATTTTAAGGAAGATAGTTAAATTATTAATGAATCAAAACTTTAAACATTTAGTGTTTAAAAGGTATTAAAAAAAAATTGCAACAAATCAAACAAGGAAAATACATTACAAAGTCATGTGAAATTTTTGAAATTTAATAATATTTAAAAACAGTTAATATATACCACAAACACTAAAAGCGACTTTTCCATTTACACATATAAGAAAACTTATGTAAAATTATATTTTTACTTAAAAAAAAAAAAATACAAATTATTACACTTACCTTTAATTACTGTGTATATACATATGTACATAATTCCAATCTTATTGTTAATGAATATACCGAAAATGTTTATAAGCAATATCCGACAGATATCCTATAGATTATAATACATTATCAATTAACAGCAACAAGAAATTAAACTTACAAAACTTACGAGCAAAATATTCTGTTTTAGTATCACAACATAAGATTTGTCCAATTTGTACACATTACACAAATACTGAACATATCTTTTAATTTGAAATGCTGAAATACAGTCATTTGGAATACAGTTATTGATAACTGAATCATATCAGAAATGGGCAACGGTTAATGCGATTATAATCGCTGACATACAATGTACAGTAAAACTGCAACAAGTATTATAAATGTTTAAAAACGATTTGATCTAAGTTCCTATCTTTTTTAGAATGCTCCGTCCAGAATTTCCCCCCCTTTAACACACAACAGTAACTCTGTAACAAGTTAAACGTCACTTATTTAAATAAAAAATGTTACACCTGTTGCACAAAACATGACAATGGTATTTTGAAAGTTTGATGACAGTTTAACAAATCAATTGTTTAATTATAATAACAGTCACAAAATGAAACTATTTACAATGTTTGTGTACTATTAACAATATGGCAACGATTGATGTACACATCAAACTGTGTTACACAGTTCTTAAAGTATTGTTAGCTCATTTACTCATCAGAAGGAAATATCTATTTATTTTTATTTTTCATACAATGAAGGGGAGCTATTTCTCAAATGGATTTCTTTAATGTCATTTTCATTCAGTTGATGAATTTATATACCTTTCACTTAACGTCTGGATTTTTTTTTAGAAAAATAAATGCACTGATATTTTGACAAGTTGACAGAAACAGATACTTTCAAAATAATTTCCTTTACTTATCTTGTTAAATATCTATAAAGCATTTTTCTATTGTTTGCCATCAAAACACTCTGCGTCCCTATCCATTACTCTTATTTCTGAATTTTAACATTTGAAAAAAACAACACGTCAATAAGCTAGCCATACTTTGAACACAGGTAACAACAATGATATTGTACAACACACATATATACAAATATACAGGAATGACAAATGACCTTTTTGATATGTTCTCAAAGGTTATACAGTACATGTACTACAAAAATATTTATACATTTTCTATTTTCCTTACATTTTTTCCCTGGTTTATATTTAAATAAGAAATGTGAAATCTGATGGAATGTTAATGACATGGATTATATCTGGAGGATTTCCCTGTTGTTTATCATAACTTATATGTGTACTGGAGGTGTACATACTCTGTCTAACTTAATAAAATCCTGGGTCAAAGGACCACATCATTAGGCAAGTGTACACAGCCCTGTGTATAAAATATTACTTTTCAATTTTATTTGTATATCTACGAACTCTGATACTATGAGCATGTACTTATCAATACTTTAGTTATTCTATCTAATTTTTGGACGTAAGATCATAATATAAACTTATGGAACTTATGGGATGTTACCACACAATGGGGTTCACATACGTAAAAACTGGTGTAAAATTTGGTGATTTGGAGAAATTTGGATGTCATTTAATATAAAAATGAAACAAAGACATAAAAGCCCCATATTTTAATATTTGCAAATGTACATCAATGTTTTCCTGTCATAAATAGATTTTAACTTTAACATGAATAAAGGATTCTCTGACGATCTAAATTGCGTAAGTAATATTAATATCAGTGGGTCAGTTCGGACTGAAGCTCCATTTTGGAAAGTCACACTCATCACTACAAATGCTATTACTGTCGAAATGTTTTTTTTTTTATGTAATTAGAATGTGATAGTTTATTCAGATAAAACCCCATTATAATGGATATGTTTTCCCAGAAAACAATATAGATCTCTGTTAATCTTAATACATTAGATATTATAGGTATAATATTCAGCAAAATGTAGCTCTGCTACAGTACATTGTAACACTCAAGAGTGACCGCGTCACTGGCAAAGTCCAGCCACATTCGGGACAAGCCTGCATGACAAGTAACATATTGTTCATAATTTTTAAACTGATGACCATAGAAGTAGGGTCTTCAATGTAGGAAATTATAGGACAAACAACATAAGTTATCTCAATCAAAAAAATCAGGTCGCTATCAGAATAATATTATAATTCGTTTCCCTCAACACTATAGAAGTACCCTGGGAATCAGGAGATAGGGTAGGGGAGATCACTCTTGAGACAAAGCTCGGTGACATCACTCTGGGAGTGATATATTTACCAGTTTAATCACACCAGGTGATTAACATAAGGGGTGAATATGAACCCAAAATACTCAGGGAATGGCAACCAAACCTCTTATTTGGTAAAGTATGTAAGCATCTGTCTAAACCTTCACACTCTGTCCTAGTGACTCCACAATGTATATTCTGGTTACAGTGACCTTGACCTATTTATTTCCCTGTGACTTTAATAATGAGTTGAAGCTGGTTTCATCTGGTATCCCTCGTACGGCTCCGTCTCCCGGTACTGACTCTCGATTCGGAGTTGCATGGCTGCCACCAGGACGCACATTCCACTGAAGAGGATGCAGAATCCACTCAACACGATCAGACCAAATGACCAGGACAGGTAGTTCTGGTCAGGGTTCTCCAGCCACTGTCGGTCAATCACTGACTTTGCCCCAAATATGATTGTACAACATGCAGTCAGCAACCCTGGAAAGAACGAATATTTACAACATTTCAATTTCTGATCAATTCAATCCTCCGATAATGGTAATTTGAAATTATATCAACTCTATACTCAGCTTAACTGATAAATAATGACCAATTGAGTTCTTGTGCTTCTGTTTTTTGGACATAGTTTTATTGAACCACTAGTAAAATACATCTCTCAATTATAATTTAACACAGGCAAGGGAGATAATTCAACAGCAGTAACAGCCTTTTTTGCAAAACATTATAAAACAAACGGTGCAAATTGACAGGTCATCAAGGGCCCTGCCATGTGCCCGAGTGTGCCCCCTACCCCCAAAAAAGGATCTATCTGTATTACCACCATTTCTAGTAAGTGACCTTGGTCTTCTAACCTGTCAAAACCCTTCAATATCCTTTAAAACTTATACACTACACAATAGTTGCAACCTGTTAAATTAAGTCCCTTTATCATCCCAAATAAAGCGAATTCTCATTACAATATCATTACTGTAGTTTAAGAACAAATCCTGATATTTTTCAGCTAAATCTACAATATAGACAATTACTGATCAAGTATGAAATGCTGTATATATTATTTGTAAAAATAGTTTGCCAAATTATAATAATATACATATATATTATAGCTACAAATATATGATAGTTTCGATCAAATGTAAATATCTATAGACACATCCTAATTTTCATGGAGAACGAGGGAGGATGTGGGGTTAGCCAGGTTGGAATACACAAGACTTATTTTGTTCTACTTTACCTGATAATATTGTCAGTCCTGATAAAAAGAAAAGCGCCTTGTAACTGGTTTTCCCTGGGCAACAGCCAATCACAAACAGGATTAGAAGCAGGAGAGACACACCCTCTAAGATCATATTCAAGGTCATCACAACCTGCACTCCAAGGAACCATGCTGTAATAAGAGAAAAGGTCATGATCAATGTCAGATATATTAATATACTGTACACAGGGAAACTTTCACCTTTTTTCACCCTCCCAAATTAGGGTGAATTTATCATGAGAGCGAATATAAGTACACAACATGCAATATACAGTAGTTACTTGTGAAGGGTGAAACTAACACTAAGCAAGCATTTGACTGGGCGAAAATTTCCCAGTATACAGTATTTAATACTGCGGTTATATAACAAAGATGACCAGGGGCTAGAAACATTTTTGTCATTCCTGCCTGGTCCAGAAAACTTGGATCCTGACATGGTTTTCATACATGTAGGTCTACCTACAATATATATGCCAATGAATGATATTAGTTAAGAGTGAACACTATTTAATAGGTTAAAGGGGCTGGTTGGGGAAAAAATGTCATATTTGCTAAAATGGCATACACATGTTTAAAATACCTTCTTATGAAATATACCGATTCAAATTTTTCCTGAAATTTACTCCCTAAGAGTAATAATTATAATTATATTAAAGAAATCCTAAATCGTCACCTGACAGTCTAAAACTCTCAATTGACCCAGCAAAAGTCATGACAGGCACGAGGTATCAATACCGTTATACATAACAACAACATAGAGGTAGGAATACTACACTTGCATCATACATGACCCTTGAAAACAATTATTTACGTATAGTATTGCTGTCTTGTCCGCTAGTTGAGACGACGTGCTACCGTTGTTATCTTCACTGCCTCACTTTTGAAACAACCATGTGTCATATATAAATAGATCTGCGCTAAATTTACGCGGGGCTTCCCCAAGATTTCAGTGGTCAAAACTGGACATTGCAAGCAGAACTCGACCATCATATTGCCATGGTATAATTTTTGGAAGGCCAGAGAACGCATTTAGACCCATTTTTTTGTATTTTTTTCCTCCCGACCAGCCCCTTTAAAATAACAACTATTTTTTTATGATTCTGTGCTAAAATGGTGTGCTTTAATTCTATCAATATATAGGCTTAAATTGACAACAAGATTATCATTTTTTGACAACTTCAAGATTTGGGAATATGTAAGCAATTTTTTAACCCCTCAGCCTGGATGATCAGGTTTGTTTATGAGTAGTATAGGTTTTCCTATCGATCAGGGATTTTCCTAGCAGCAAGATCAAACCATATACAATTATCTCCCTTCCACAACAGCATTTTCAGAATTCCACCAGTGTAACCCCAGTAACGAATGGTTCTGATAGCGCTCCGGTGACCTTTAATAAAGCAGGGTCAATATCCCATACTGTGAAATATTTAATTTTTGTGGGGTTCATAAATTTTTAATGATAAATTTCGTTGATTTTGTGGATACTCTTCATCTGTACTGATGGGTTTGACACAAAGCTGATCTTCGTACGAGTGGGTACTAGCGTTTGTAATCCACAAATTTATGTAGACACAAAATGGTGTTTTTATCTCAAAAACCATAAAATTTTGGCACCACAACAATATTTGATTTCACAGTATGTGGTCTTGTCCCAGTTATTGATGGTTCTTTATACCAGAATAAATTACTGGTTCTGTAGCCTATATATTATACCAGTCTTACACTATGGTTCATTTACATTTTGTCTTTGCTCCAGTGATCCTGGTTCAGATAATTAGCTATTGTGGATATATTGATGCATAACCCATTACTCCACACATAAATGAAATTGTCAAGCCCATCTCAGTGATTGGTCCATTTGGTTTGGTTTGGTTTCATATTGTTTCACGTTATATCAACAGCTATGGTCATTTAATTAAAATAAGGATGGCCTCACCTGTGTGCAAAATGCATGTGTGTAGTGTATGCATGTGTGTTTTTGGAGGCTGCGATATGTTCGTGTTTGTCTCCTTGTGATAGCGCGGAAATGATGCTGACTTTATAGTGCTACCTCACTGGAAAAATACTGCCGAAGGCACCCTAGGTTAATTACATTAACAGTGTCATCAATAGACTTGCGCCAGAAATGGCTCCATTTGGGTTACAATTAAGCCATACAATTTCACACATAAATTGGTCTTGACCCATCAAGATGCATGGGTCTGTTTGAGTTACCCCGTTACATGTATTTGAAAACTAGAAATGTCGCCAGAATTGCAGACTTTAAACCCTGTGTGCCTGCACCGACACATGCCCAGCACTCATAGGAATAGCTCTTTCCAGAATGTTTTTAAATGGTATATAACTACATAAATGAAGAGGTAACTCCAACGGATGAACTTTTTCACATTAGCTCAATATCGGTGTTACATACATGCACCAAGTATCATAATATAATGAGCTTTTCTGCTGATCATGTGATCTTGTCTGCTCATATGAGCATTTTTCTGATTTGCATATTAAAATGCACACGAAAAAATGATGTTAGATCTCATGTGAGCATAAGCTGCTCATGTACATGTGCTAACTGTTAACAAATTTTGGTATGGGTATACGTAATTATTGACAGCCAGATCTGAATGGATAGACATGTACAGATAGACAATTCCAGTTAAGTATGTAAGCATCTGTCTAAATCTTTACTCTCTGTCCTCGTCAGTGACTCCACAATGAATATTCTGGTATTCCAGCATTACCCTTAGTATCCATATCCCTGTTAGCTTTATTTCAGGAGGTATAATTTACATAGAGAATTATGTAATTTGGCCACAGGTTTACCCAGGTATATACCCATCACAAGTGATCATGAGCAAATGGATACTTATAATCTGAGATTATAAGTATCCATTTGCTATTATCTGGCACTTATATATAGTGCATTAATATCTTTACTGCTTATATTTACAATAGGTACCTGAGATTTATTTAACTGACTGTCGATACCTATTGCTTACTAGATACTTCTAATAAATTCCAGTGACAAGATCTTAAAAAGGGTTGTTCATGGACAGACAAGGTAAAATGATTCAATCTTCAAATTATTTTACTTAAAGAAATTCATGTATTAAATTGTTATAAAGAATGATGTAAAATTGACATTTATCACTTTTTTTTTTATTTATATGTTGACTTCCTTCTTGCTAAGGAGCAGTTACAATTATATAAAAGCATCTTGTATGTGTGTTTCTATTTTATTTTAATAATAAAAATTAAAGAGATGCAAATGTATATTCGTTTTAAACATTACTAACAAGGTATATATTGTGTTCATACATTAAATACAAGTTAGTTGTTAGAACTAAGGTGTAAAGCTAATCGAAAATGCCAAGCATACCCGTCCTCAAAAATAATGAATGGTCCCGGGTGATTCACATATCATCCATTTTGTTTTACCTGAATATCACCTGTAATCAACAGGTAAACTTTTCAAATATACAACTAATCCTATTAAAACAATCATATATGGTTTGTTAGATAAACCTGGATACTTACGGGGGTTCAACCATTGCCAAATTGGACGATACTCGTAGGAGAAAATCCACCAGCATCCGTCATATGTTTTACCAGTGTAGTCTTTGTAGTACGTCCACTGATTAAAGCAGGCCTCCCAGAGTCCGAGACGGATGAAATGGCTAACCGTTATAAAACGATCATCTGATTCTAGCCAGTGAGGTGTAGAAAACCCAATCACGAAAAATAGGAACGCTAGTGAGGAAAATACTAACGCTCCATACAGGAGACACTTGACGCGATTCTCCATCTTGAAACCGTTTGAACAATAACAGGTAGGGCGAGTCTAAGTGTGTAGAGGTGCGATAGGTATGTGTGACACAGGTATTTAAGGCACAGTCAGGTAACGTGTATAGGGGTTACTTCCCTTGTCTCAATACGCTTCTCATTAACGCTTGGTAAAATGTCACACTGACAGTATCAAAATTAGATATAATATAGAAAAATGTAAAATAATACAATGAATATTTGATGAAAAAAAAGAGACTTATTCTAAACCGGACACAATATACTCTTTAACTTTAAACTATGAGTTTCTGAAGCAAACACCCGCGAAAATACGCGAAAATTACAAACTATACATAATCGGATACAGTATGGGCCCCTTACAACTAAAAGTGAAGGCCTTATCACAACTAAAAAAAACAGTGGGAGAGATGGAAGAGATAAGTGAATTTTAATTAATTATTTAAAAAAAATCGCACTTTTTTTTAGAATCACAAAAATATAGGGGGGGGGGGGGGGGAATAAAAAATAAATATTTTTTAAATATCAATAATTGTTTTCAAATATAGATAAATGATATTTGAATATCAATAAATACATTTCTTATACATATAAATAGTGACTTTTCCACTTTGGCTGTATTAACTAATAACATAACAGTGACAAGGTTAAATGACATTATAGTGGTCCTTAATGACATGATGGCGGTCCTAAATGACAAATCACGCCAGAACACAGCTATAACGTGAACACAACACAGAGAAATACACGACAAATATCGCGCAGGTACTATCTGCCTATGGCATTGTGGATCAACCACCCACTCAATAATACCGTAAATCCGTAAATCTTGAGTCCGGTTGTCCGATGCCTTATCAGAGACTTACCATTAGCCCCGTTAGATACGTGAAAATTAATATTAGCAAAAGTCAATTGACAACATGAAAATACGTTGTTTTAACATTTTCAGATGAGCATTTTGAAGTTATACCACTCAGATACTAGTTTAATGTGCAACACGATGATAGAGTTTGCCATAGTATATGTCATACAGTTAACAAGAAGTTGTCATGGACTGGAATTCTCCCAAGGGTCATGGTGAACTACGAGTATTTTTTAGTTATGTTTGTATAGATGTATATATATTTGTCATGTTAAATGTATTGTAATTGTGTGCAAAATAAAGACGAAGAAAAAAATACAAAAAATAATAATTTCAAGCTAACGACTCACTAAGCTGACTGGGCTTTTACAAACTTGGTCCTACTTGGTTCACACATTTATTTCGTGACTGCTTTAATTTTAAACCAGTTAATAACGGAGTCACGGATGTCTGTGAGGCAATATATTAATTGGTTTCAGTGTGGCTATGTATTATTGAAAGGAGAAAGGGCGACTTAATTACGAGATGAAACGAGAAGCCGAGGGGGTCTTTTACCGATTTTTTTTTATTAGAAAAAAGGCATACCATTGAAATGAATAAAAGAGCTTCTTATGTAAAAAAATAAACTGGCATTTTTTATGCAGATGGGACAAGAAGTCTTTTTAACTGTCTGCATAGATTATTAACGACGAAACACTTCATTCTTATATATTTAAACTGAAATGTGCAGTTTTGTGGTGAAAGGGTCGAACAGGGCCGAAAACAATACAAACCCGGAGTCAAAAATATGTGAAAAAACATCATTTAATTTATATACTAGTTTCAGATTTTTTTAAATTAGGTTATAACGTCACTTTTAATTAGTTTCAATAAATTTGAATTCTGATTTTAACTTAATCATGTAGGCCTATATAATTCCATAATAGCATATAAAGTTAAGCTCATTAAAGTCTTTAAGATAATTAATTCATCAAAATTGTATACATCTTCAGTAATTTTAATACAATCTTTATGATTCAAGATTTTTTTTTTAATATTTTCTGAATGAATTGACAAAGTCATCTTTATCTATACGACTAGCTCAATAATCCCACCAGGTTATCTTTTTAGAACCCCGAAAAAGTGACGCAAAGTCAATTTCGTCCTCAGGTATCTATAGGTGATACCTATATATAAGCTTAGAGCTAACAGAGACGTCTCAGCTAATATAACTAGGCCTAATTACCAATTAAGTATTATTTAGGTCTCCGTTTTTAACTATTTTTTTATGTTAACTTAATGTCTCCGTTCTCAAATAGATGTTTCTTTCACTCTCAACCAGCTAACGGTATCGTACCAGTATATCACACCTGTGCTAGAAAAACACCCCTCCAGTTTACAATAGACTCGTCCAATGTTGTAAACATTCCAGGTAGATGACCCAACTTTTCGAACGGAGACGCCATTAAAAATGGCGGACAAGTCTGTCGTAGCGCTTGTCCTATCTATGATAGCGGTCGCTTTCCTTGTTGGAGCTTTCGCAAGTCCATACTGGGTAGAATCTTTCCAGAAATCAGACAGTCGATTTATTAAGGCAGGGTTGTGGGAGTTTTGTTTCAATGATTACACGTTTTGGAAGGACTACAATGGAAACAGGTACAAGGGCTGCTGGTATATCTTCTCCGACCAGTACAGGCCTATTTGGGAATGGCTCTCCCCTCGTGAGTATAATCCAAAGGATTTATATCTTGTTAAATTATTTCAATATTTGATTTTGAAATACGTGCAGGTAATTGGAAAAGAAAATTACCTGTATCGTAAAAGGTGTGGTTTATTGCACAGTTAAAGTCTGATGTACTCACTTCCGGTAAACAGTATAACTTTAAATTATGGATTTACGTAGTTTTCATCATTATTTTAATGCTTTCTCAACGTGGAAAAAAAATGGGGGTGGGGCATTTGGGGTTATTTTTTTATTACCCCATGTGGAATTTCAAAATTTAGAGTGCATGACAGATTTAATATATATAACAACCCCAAATCTTAGTCATCTGTCTGAAGTGTTTACATTTGACGTACATGTATATTGCAACAAATAAAGACAAACTGCAGACGATATGATCATGTGTGCATGTATATAAACAATTTTAGTCCGCAGGTCCTTACACCTGTGTCATAAAGTTATGGCTCTGATTTCCTTTATACTTGCTCTCCACAGATTGGTTCATGGCTGTACAGGTGATGGTGAGCGTGGCACTTCTGTTCCTGGTCATCACAACGTTTACAGGTATCCTGGCTGTTTGTCACGTGTTCCCGGAATACCTTGAGGAAATCATCTTATTGGGCTGTAGCCTCGTCAAGTTTGTCATAGGTCTGTATACCTCAAAGTTATCCTTTAACGCCATGCACCAACATTAACACAGTCTATCAAATGGCTATAGCCTAACTATATTATAAGCTCCATTTTAGCTATAGGTCTGATCAAAAATTTTGACTCACCAATGCAACTTTGTTATAGCTCAAATCTATATATAGCCAACATTGTCATAGCCATAGTCAGATCACAGTTAAAGCCAACTTCGTCATAGCTATAGGTCTGATCAAAACTATAGCCAACATTGTCATAGCTATAGGTCTGATCAAAGATATAGCCAACACTGTCATAGCTATAGGTCTGATCAAAGCCAACTTTGTCTTAGCTATAGGTCTGATAAAAGCCATCTTTGTCATAACTATAGGTCTGATCAAAGCCAACCTTGTTATAGCTATAGGTCTGATCAAAGCTATAGCCAACTTGTCATAGCCTTAGGTCTGATCAAAGCTATAGCCAACTTTGTCTTAGCTATAGGTCTGATCAAAGCTATAGCCAACTTGTCATAGCTATAGGTCTGATCAAAGCTATAGCCAACTTTGTCTTAGCTATAGGTCTGATCAAAGATATTGCCAACACTGTCATAGCTATAGGTCTGATCAAAGATATAGCCAACACTGTCATAGCTATAGGTCTGATCAAAGATATTGCCAACACTGTCATAGCTATAGGTCTGATCAAAGATATTGCCAACACTGTCATAGCTATAGGTCTGATCAAAGATATTGCCAACACTGTCATAGCTATAGGTCTGATCAAAGATATTGCCAACACTGTCATAGCTATAGGTCTGATCAAAGATATTGCCAACANTGCCAACTTGGTCATAGCTATAGGTCAATCTGATCAGAGATATTGCCACAACAACTCTAACTACAGGTCAAATCAAAGCTATACCCTCCACAACTTTTGTCATAGTTGATGTATTTTTTTACTTCAAATTTCAAGGAAATGACAGTATGACTACTGAAATAGCTTGTTATCAAGGGTCGACTCAACTGATCACATGAAAGCCCAAATATTATGAAGATATATAAGTTAGTCAAAAGAGATTCATGGTGTAGTGAATAGTCGATCAAGATGCCAATTATCACTGGAGATTTAATTTCGTTATATTCGCGGTCACCAAAGATAGCGTGAAATTAAATAGCTAACGAATATCAATACCATGAATATACACCGAAAAAGAGAAAAGAGCTGTTTTACCCTTTCACTGCTAGATAACGATAACACAAATTCAATATCAGATTTAATGTTGTTTTGATAAAACACTAGCAAAATAAACCCCATCACCTATATAAAATACAAAAGTCCCTCATGATCGGTTTTCTGCAGGATTGATATTTTTTATTAATATAAGAAACTGGTATTTTATATAATGATCTATTACTGGTATAAAATAAGTCACTTACTATAACTACTACCTTTCTATATTACAGTGATTATACAGTTCATTGTCCTGGTGCTGTTTGGGGTCCAGAAGGAAGACCGACAGTGGGTGCCACGGCCCGATCAGAACTTCTTGTCATGGTCCTACGGACTCTTTGCAGTTTCTACAATCATGACACTTGCTGCAGCTGTCACACTTCTCAAGGCTGGTCTCGACCTTCGAAAGAAACTCAAGGAAGATTTCCCTAGGAGGCGCTACTAGTTCAAATTTGTCCGTAAACTTTCGAATCAAACTTGTGAAGAACATGTTACCACAGATATACAAATATAAAGATCATATTTATGACTTTGTCTTGGATATCTTACGTAATGATTTATCAAAATATTGAATGTAAACAGGTAATTTAAACATTTAAATTATCATCAAGATTTTGAATCTTCAGTAAAAATTAGGACAAGGAAATGCAACCGTTATAATTTTCTTGCACAGTTCCATCATTTTCATGCATTGAAAGAATTTGTAAATATACATGTTCTTTTAACTTATTCACCCCTGAAATTTCCTAATGAACTATTCCAACCTTTGAATTGGAAGACCAGTTCAGATGTATTTTCAGGGGTGAATGAGTTAATGCTCGAGTCTAGATGTTTGTAAATATCTGTTTAAATTCAGTTACAAAGAATGCAAATATATCTTAAAGAAGCTCCATGAGGGAAGACAACATACCAAACTGCTTTTCATATATTTCCAAGTGCTGAAATAATTAATATCAAGTAAATATTTAGAAATTTATTCTGCATTTCTTGCATATCTTGAGTTTCAATTATAACAAAGATTAAAAATGTATGCACTGAAAGTTCAGGACTTGTCACTGAATATGGCTTATACGTAATTTTGCACTTTATAAGTCAAGCATCACAGTTTTTATTTGATTATAAAAAAACAAAGTGTACAATGACTCAATAAGAAACTCCAGAGTTATCAAGAGGTGTTAAAAATTTGTAATCAATACTTCATATTAACAAGAGAGACGAACTACAAAGAAATAGCGATATTCAATGTGTATTGTTCATAATCACGAGTTTAAGTTGAAGGTAAATTTATCATTACGCAGCAAAAGTGTTTCTGGTACAAATATTCACATAAAAGTAATAACGTTTTTAACTGGAATATTTTGTATATTTTTGAAAAGATTGTTTGTATATAGATTGTAATTAATATGTATAACATTGAGGATCAAATATTACATACATTGTATATTATCATCTTGTGCCATTAACAAACTTTTCATAAGTTTGGTATCAGTTAAATGATTATAAAATTCTGCATGTTTGATTTTAACATCATTCTTCATATTCATTAGACCATTTTGTAGAAAAAAATGTTTTAAAAAAGTATATTCAATTTGTTCAATGAAGTTTCAAATGTACTATTTCGAAAATTTTGTAAAATAATGCAGATTTTTATTTTCATATCTGGTATTCATTTTGTCATGTCAACATTCCTCAGAAAATAAATCATCAAGATATCATTTGTATATATGATAATTATGTCATTCCAGAAATTTTCTCAAGACTTTTGTAATAAATTTTTATATATGTATTCACTAGTTCATGTTCTTTGTTACGTCTATAAGTATTGGTCACTTTCCATAGACTGTTTCAGATCTGCTAATCAGCTTTTGTTGGAACGGAAACCGGGGTTATCCGTTTTGCCAAGTGAAACCTTTGCACTGCACCAATAAAATGGAGGGCGGAAAAGGCGAACGTTATACTGAGTGAAATGTCACTGTATACAGTACATAAACATGTACCACATGCAATGTAGCTGTTACTAGGATGTAAAACACAAACAAAACAAAGCACATGCACAATTCCAGTGGTAATTGAATCTATAGAGCCAAATTTATAAAATTGTAAAAAAAAATATTGTTTGGTGAAGTAATTCATTTGTTCTCTTTGTATCTCGAGAGAAATGAAGGGAGTTCACTTGAATTTCATATTGTTCTTTCATGTGCATTGTTCTGGATCTTTTCACAAATAGATGTAGACTGAAGATTCAGTTGGTGCATTCTTGAATATATATTCTTAAAGAATAAGTAAACAAAACTGAAATGAAAAATGCTTGCAGCAGTAAATGTGATGAAGCAATTCCATATAAAAAAAAATCAAAGAAGAATAATCACAATGTGGCATGCCACATACCTTCCTCGATACCCAGGAGTTACACTCACTTTCGCTCTGCACCCTGATACATGTATATTCATAGCAAAATCATAGACTTGGTGTGTGCCACTTTGTGGATGAGACAAGATGAGGACAAGTTTTATCCTTTGATATACATGTACATCAGAAGAATTTCACAGTCGCATAAATGCTCCTCTGTAATTTCAAATGCTCGATATAGGCAAGTTACACAAGAAAGTTGGCTTGAGCACAGAATCCATACTTGATTTTGAGAACGGCTTCTTTAATACGGGTCCTGGTCTTAAGCCATCTGGCTAATACTAAATACATGAACCTATAGGTGGTCAGGTTTTTTTTAACCTGACACCAATCAAATAGCTAGCCGTGTGCCTCTGATTTTGCTATGTTATTCCAAGGGTGCAGAGAGCAAAAGTGAGCGTAACCCCTGGAGTATGGAGGATGGCAAAAGTGAGCGTAACCCCTGGAGTATGGAGGATGGCGTAACCCATGGAGGATGGCAAAAGTGAGCGTAACCCCTTGAGTATGGAGGATGGCGAAAGTGAGCATAACCCCTGGAGTATGGAGGATGGCAAAAGTGAGCGTAACCCCTGGAGTATGGAGGATGGCGTAACCCCTGGAGTATGGAGGATGGCAAAAGTGAGCGTAACCCCTGGAGTATGGAGGATGGCAAAAGTGAGCATAACCCCTGGAGTATGGAGGATGGCAAAAGTGAGCGTAACCCCTGGAGTATGGAGGATGGCAAAAGTGAGCATAACCCCTGGAGTATGGAGGATGGCAAAAGTGAGCGTAACCCCTGGAGTATGGAGGATGGCAAAAGTGAGCATAACCCCTGGAGTATGGAGGATGGCAAAAGTGAGCGTAACCCCTGGAGTATGGAGGATGGCAAAAGTGAGCATAACCCCTGGAGTATGGAGGATGGCAAAAGTGAGCGTAACCCCTGGAGTATGGAGGATGGCAAAAGTGAGCATAACCCCTGGAGTATGGAGGATGGCAAAAGTGAGCGTAACCCCTGGAGTATGGAGGATGGCAAAAGTGAGCATAACCCCTGGAGTATGGAGGATGGCAAAAGTGAGCGTAACCCCTGGAGTATGGAGGATGGCAAAAGTGAGCATAACCCCTGGAGTATGGAGGATGGCAAAAGTGAGCGTAACCCCTGGAGTATGGAGGATGGCAAAAGTGAGCATAACCCCTGGAGTATGGAGGATGGCAAAAGTGAGCGTAACCCCTGGAGTATGGAGGATGGCAAAAGTGAGCATAACCCCTGGAGTATGGAGGATGGCAAAAGTGAGCGTAACCCCTGGAGTATGGAGGATGGCAAAAGTGAGCGTAACCCCTGGAGTATGGAGGATGGCAAAAGTGAGCGTAACCCCTGGAGTATGGAGGATGGCAAAAGTGAGCGTAACCCCTGGAGTATGGAGGATGGCAAAAGTGAGCGTAACCCCTGGAGTATGGAGGATGGCAAAAGTGAGCGTAACCCCTGGAGTATGGAGGATGGCAAAAGTGAGCGTAACCCCTGGAGTATGGAGGATGGCAAAAGTGAGCGTAACCCCTGGAGTATGGAGGATGGCAAAAGTGAGCGTAACCCCTGGAGTATGGAGGATGGCAAAAGTGAGCGTAACCCCTGGAGTATGGAGGATGGCAAAAGTGAGCGTAACCCCTGGAGTATGGAGGATGGCAAAAGTGAGCGTAACCCCTGGAGTATGGAGGATGGCAAAAGTGAGCGTAACCCCTGGAGTATGGAGGATGGCAAAAGTGAGCGTAACCCCTGGAGTATGGAGGATGGCAAAAGTGAGCGTAACCCCTGGAGTATGGAGGATGGCAAAAGTGAGCGTAACCCCTGGAGTATGGAGGATGGCAAAAGTGAGCGTAACCCCTGGAGTATGGAGGATGGCAAAAGTGAGCGTAACCCCTGGAGTATGGAGGATGGCAAAAGTGAGCGTAACCCCTGGAGTATGGAGGATGGCAAAAGTGAGCGTAACCCCTGGAGTATGGAGGATGGCAAAAGTGAGCGTAACCCCTGGAGTATGGAGGATGGCAAAAGTGAGCGTAACCCCTGGAGTATGGAGGATGGCAAAAGTGAGCGTAACCCCTGGAGTATGGAGGATGGCAAAAGTGAGCGTAACCCCTGGAGTATGGAGGATGGCAAAAGTGAGCGTAACCCCTGGAGTATGGAGGATGGCAAACATGAGTGAACCCCTGGAGTATGGAGGATGGCAAAAGTGAGCGTAACCCCTGGAGTATGGAGGATGGCAAAAGTGAGCGTAACCCCTGGAGTATGGAGGATGACGAAAGTGTAAATGTACCTACCAGGCAAATATCATTACTTTGGGCCTTTTGGTTATTCAGACGACACACCACATAGCTGAGGTCACAGGCACTTTGTACAACTAGTTAATTAGCTTAACAAATCATTTAAAAAACAAGAGGTCCAGGGGCTTTGGTAGTTCACCTGGTATTTTATTTTCAATTTAAAACCTGCTGAGTACCATACAGGTAAAGTTTCAAGAAGAACTAAATCTGTCAAAATGAGTCCCCCACCCCCCACCTAAGCCTGCTTCAGAACACGCTTGGTTTAAATCCCTTCACTTGTACAGTAGCAGAAAACATTTCGTTTATACAAACTTGAGGCTTCTTTGACCAAAGATCCTTCAGAACAAATTTGGCCAAAATCCTTTTATTGGATGAGAAGAAGAATTTTAAAGATTTACCCCTATTTGGCCCCACCCCTATGCCCCCCTGGGGGACCAAACCCTCTGTTTTTACAAAACTGAGAACCCTTTGGCCAATAATGCTCCAGACCAAATCGGTACAGAAGGGGAAAGTTCTTTAATGTTTACTTCTATTTTTCCCCTAATGGGCCCCACCCATCTGCCACAAAGAGGGGGGCCAACACACCTCAGTTTTAAGAAAATTGATTCTTTGTCCCTATGCATCCTTCAGACTGCATTTGGTTTAAAGCCCTTCACTTGTATAGTAGGTGACAATTTTTCCTCTATTTCCCCTATTGGGCCCAGCCCCTCTGCCCCCAAAGGGGATACACCCTCCGTTTATACAAACTTGAGGCTCCTTTGTCCAAAGATGCTCTTAGCAAATTTGGTCAAAATCCTTTTATTGGTTGAGAAGAAGATTTTAAAAAAGTTACCTATTTAACCCCTATTTGGCCAATGATGCTCCAGACCAAATTTGGTCAAAATCCTTTGAGCCGTTCAGGACTAGTAGTGTTTAAAAGGAAAAAGTTAACAGACGCCGAATGCCGCACCATGGCATAAGCTCACTTGGCCCAAAAATGAAATCAAAAAACACGTTTATATTTCACGAATAAGTAAAATTTATTTTGAGTATTGGAAATATAACAATGTATTTTCAGTTTTTCTTTACAATTTGTTTGTGTACAATTCCATAACAAAGTTCCAATGTTTTATTACACCTGTTACATATACTCCCTATGGTTCCTCTGACAAATTACCAAATCTACTTCTTAACATCAGAATTCTGCAGTTTCTTTAGTCGTAACTAAATAATGTTTATCTTATATATGATTCATCACTACCAACTGATGAGTTATTTTTATATAAATAACAAACATATATATCATTAGGATTGATATAGAACACAGTGATGTTCCACTCTTATAAATGATGACATCATAATTACAATATTTATCTGGCAATTAATCTGAGTTATTCTGACGTTTTATCGACTTTTTTTATATCGGTCTGTCGTCGATTAACCGATGAAAGACCGATACATTTTTTATGATAAAACATCAGAATAATTCGGACTATCCAGTGATAAGCCCATGCTTGGTTATAAGCCCACCATTGAATCATATATTGCAGTTAGGAAGAAATGCCAACACAAGCTTTTTGTTGGGTCCCTTAATAAAACCATTCCGCTACTTTCAGTCAGAGATTATGTGTTGGCCTCCGGCGAATATTGCAGGATAAATATACGTATGACTTGCAACAAATTCCCCGTCCCCCTCCACCAGGAGGTAAAATCATACATTTACTAGTATAATGAACAGCCACTTTTTTCTATACTGTAAGTAAGATATGGGATTAGCTAGATATCCAACTCATAGGAGTTAGGATTTATAACAATTTTTGTGAGTATCATTCTCAAATATAATCAATTCCCAGAAGCTTGTACATTAATTAGAACTTGATTAATTCAATTGTACACGTATAACTAACTCTACATCATCACAAGCCATAATTAAATCTCTGGATCTCTAAAAAAAGACAATAAAATGAGATCTGTTGATCCACTCCACGGCAAACTACAAAGTAGGATCTGACAATATCTTATACGGGGTATTGCTTACCTTACATCCACTACCTGGAACATTATGTATCCTTTAACCTGCTTGTGAGGTGTCGCACCACTATATGACCTCAACCATGCAGTGTTGTTGGATCCTATACTTAAGAGTACTGTAGATGAATATTGGATCATACATGGTAGCATATTGTAGAGGAATATTAGAATCTCTCATCGCCCTTGGGGGTGAGGGTTGGGAGTCTCAACCCGAGGGGGAAGATTCTTAAGTTGCCAAACACAAGGCTTTGTCAAGTGTTTGGCAACTTAAGAATTTTTCCCTGCGGGTTTGAGATTCCCAATCTTACCTCAAAGTGGTGAATGATTCCCTGTTTCCCTGTGTATCATATACATAATGTAATTTCAATGTTAAAGCATAATGCACTGTTGATGTGACGTTGATGGATTGTTGACGTGACGTCATTGTATTGTTGACGTGACGTCATTGTATTGTTGAAGTGACGTCATACCATTGTTATGAATAGGGGAATCCCCCCGTCTCAACCCTAGGGTTAGACAAGGATATCTCACACAGGTAATTGTGACCCAGAGGTGGTCCAGGGTAAGAAAATGTCTGATCCTGCACTATAGATTAAAGTAATGTAGCAAAATGGCGTGGAGGTTATTATTACGATCTACACATGCCTGCCATTATTGTTTACAAATTATGAAAGAAATCTGAAGTGATATGTAGATCACTGGTAAAAAATGCCCGACACTGGAACAACAGTAAATTAAAAAAGCAACAATGGATTTGCATCAAGATATAAGTAAATATTTAAAATAAACTATAAATGAACATGAAATTTGTATCTTAAAACATCATTTTAATACATAGAAGAACTTTTTAAAATTGTCAAAAACACTGGCACTTGGGTCAAAAATGTAGGTAGCTTTCTCAATTATCACAACCTTGATTCAACACTCAAATGTAGATTAAACTGTATAAAATACTTTATTCCTATTTTAATAAGGCACGGGTAGGTCTAAATTTCATGAATTTGCCTATGCTGTGATCTCGTCTTAAGGATCCCTGTCCTGCTGCACTCTGGTTTTTCCTATATACAGTTATCTCCCCTTAACGTTGTTTTGGATGCGACTGTAGCATTGTTCAAGTGGGACAATTCTGTTGACCAGGTAGCTCAAATGGTTAGAGCAACAGTAACAGTCTGCAGTCTAGGGATGGAATTCTAGTCCAGCCCCACTGAGTCATACTCAGAACACTTGATGAGGAAACCAGAGTACCCAGAGAAAAAAAAACTGTTTTTGGAAAGGTGGCTCAGCCGTCTTTTTTTATGTCTGTGGTTTATTGAAATGAGACTCTTGACTTTAATGACATCCTGTGAACTGAATATCTTACAGAGAATCCTGGTCCATGACAGTCTCTTCTTTCAACCCTCACATTGACGAAAAACTATGAAATCTTGACAGATAAGCCAGCATCAATCCCCGCTCCCCAACCTTANCAAGGATTCACAGCACATAAAATTATATATATATTTACTCCTCACAGACTGAAATTCAGACTTGAAACTCTCACACTATTGTACATGGAATTCATAAAACATATACTACCACAGTTATTGATTCAGCAGTTAACATGTCCTTTGTTTACTGAGGTAACTTTTATCACAGAATATTTTTCAGCATTTTGAAAAAAACAACAGTATAGAGACAAATTACAACATATATACCATGGTTTCATATAACATAATTTAGCACCTGTGGAAGATATAGCTATATACAGTATGGTCCCTCTTTCATGCCACATACATGATGCAAGATCGTACATGCTGTACAATGTAGTTATTATAAATCACCAGGCAAACGTAAAAACCATTAAAGACAAAGGTAATCTTCTAGATTGGAACTGAAATTTTTGAGCACAGTAAAATATACAGTGACTTTACCCTGCTCAGTGATGTTGCTGCCAGTATATTTGACTAAAACTATCCTTAAAAGTTGTCGCCTGGAAAAGATTTTGCGATAAACTTAAAACTTTTGTTGCAACCTTTACATTCTATGCCAAAGTGTTCTATGGTAATTACATTAAGTTACATAAAGACATCTTTTATGGCTCAAAAGCTATAGCCCAGGCAAGATTACATAGGGAAAAAGAGAACTGTTATATTATAATTATTCCTGTCTCCCTTCATTTGAAGAAGTGACAAATAATTCTACCTCATTCTACCTCAAATAAAAGTTATCCTCAAATATCAACATTGTCATGGAAAACTCAGGAGACATTTGTAGAAAAAATTATCATATAAAGACATTTTACATCAATTTAAAAGAGAAATTTAACAGCAACAACAATCCTTATTGAAATTAGATCTTCACATCACTCTTGCTTAGTGATATGTCACATTCACATCAGAAAACATGAGCAACATTAAGATATAATTTTTAATTAGTGCAGGGATTTTTCATCACACTCATACACTCATTATTATCTGCAGTCCTTGTTACAACATTTCCTTATTTCGTACTCTCACCAGAATGTTGTAAAAATGTACATCATCTTCTCAGAGCATAAAAGCGCTCAGAAATTTTGATGTTTTTAATTCACAAAGGCTTGTACAGTCAGACTTCAACGATTCAAACTTTGCTGTACAATGGGGAAAATTAAAAACATCAGGACCTTCACCGAGGAATGTTAAACATTGAACATCGAGGTCCTGTAAACAAGACGGAATGGGAGGATTATGTGATGAAACACAAGCAGAGAAATCAATTTAAAATGTATAAATAATTAATATAGATTAACAGGTAGAAAATTTACACACTGAGCTTTGCAAGATGATTTGATCAAATTCAATATTTCATCGTTTGTTAATTCAATTTCCAAAGCTAGTACCAGCGTTGATGTGGTCCACCAGGTTATTGTACAAGACACAATATATCTCTGCAACATAGTTCTGCTTGCTATTTTTCCTCGTTTAAATGTTTGTACGGAATGCCTGACACATGAACATCTCTATCATAGGACTGAATGGGAGCTTGACCCGAGGACTGACCGGCAAAAGTCAGTACATCACCACCTTGATTGTTCCACGGCTGCTCCGAGCCCTCAGCAAGGAGTAGATAGAGTATAGTTCCGGCCAGATAAACCCCGGAACAGATATAAAACACGATCTGCCACTGTGCACGAGTTTGCTGAAAAACACACACAAACTGAAGGTTATAGTTGTTATGCTTAGAAATTTAATCAAAATGTTGTGATTTTCCCCATATTTATAATGTTTTACTTAAAGTCAAACAAACTTTTAGAAAAATATTTTTTAAACATATATTTATTAATATGCACTGTTATCTTCATTATTCCAATTAATACATTTTTTCACACATCTTCAAAGGATGTGAAAACTATAGATGCATAATAATATATAACAGTCACAATCTGATTTAAATATAAGGATGTTTATTTATCACCTACAGCATAAACATCCGAAGGCCACTTATAGAAGGCCATGTGCAGGTCACCAAGGTAATTTGCATAATCTTACGGTTAAACGCCCAATCACACTATTTCACATGATTTATTCTTCCCTCTCTTTATTTCAGCTTTGAACTATTTTTTTGACTACATATCCTTCACTGCATGGTCCATTTTCCTTCTGTGCAAATGTCTCAAATGGTACAATATATATTGTCTAAAAGAGCCATGGAATCAACAAACTAGGACTAAATGCAGCCATCCTGATCATATCTGTTATTTCGGGATTTAACTGTGCACTATGGTAGCAGTATACAGTAGAAATGGCCCGACTCTGATAAACATGGCACATGTCGAGGAAATGTAACACAGCGGATTTACCCTACACAACACATGTATACATGTATATATATTTGTAAACTGCATTACATTTACAATACATATAAAGTACTGAGAAGTGTATAAACCTCTTTTTTCTATGTATGTCACTTGTGCGAAAACCATGGTTACCATATCAAAAATTACCAAAAAATGCCAAAAATTGCTATTTTTGACCCCCGCAACTAGTAATTTTTTTCCTAAGTTCTGCCTGAATTTAAAGATTACCTACCTGGTTGCAGAATTATCTGGGCCCCAGTAAAGTTGTAAAACTTGATTTTTTGCAATTTTGCGTCATGTGCTGTTGTCAAAATTTTACCTCCTGTCCAGCTAGCCTTTCCTTTCGGATTATGGTCAAAATTTTATTCTCGAACCAGATTTTTTTTTTTTTTTACAAATGTGAACCTCACATAGCACACTTCATCATGCTTATACCAATTTTAGTACAGTTTTATTTTTATATTTTTTTTTACATATCATTATACAGGGGTTAGCCATTTAACAAAAATATCACCAATGGCCACAACCCTCTACTGTATACTGCTACCTATGGTAAAATGCAAGACCTTTGAAATGACTTTTTTTTCATATTCAGGATTTGGTAAGCTGCAATATGATTGGCAGATCCAGTGGTCACCTGTACATGACCTTCTAAAGATGGCTGACAGATATTCAGACATAGTGTACAATGGAGAGTTGTATATATTTAATCAGAATATGATAGTCAATGTGTATAATAAATAGCCATAATATCAATATATACATATAATACACAGTCAATATTAAATATAATATGTACAGTCAATAATGCAAATTTACATAATGTACAATTGATAATACTACAAAATACATTCTTATACATTTTTTGTGTGCATGTTTAGATTGGATACAGACCATGTTCTAATCTGCAATATAATCATGATCAATTGTGTTAATTGCTACCCATGACACTTAAGCCACACACCATTTCTAACCCAAACAATATGGCATCAAGCTCGCCTCTTAGCGCTGATAAGGCTAGCAGGCAACAGAACAGAAAGGATTGATGAAAAGTATACTGTATTTGTCGAATAAAAATAGTTAATATTCCTTGTTCTTACCTCCATTTATTAACGAAAACATTCGTTCCATCTGTGTGTAAGCATCTAGTTAAATCCAAAATCAAATGAAACATTTCACATGTGTCGTATGAATTTTGCACAAAACTCTTCACAGATCTAAACAAATAATCACTGATTTTGTTGATACACACGGATTGCCATGCCTTCTGACATGGAAATGTAAAAATTTGGTCAATGTTAATCCAAATATGTCGTACAAACTTTGGTAACAGGACATTCACGAACAATCCAAATATTCTGCCTTGTCATCATACAGATTGAGAGCTCGCCAGTATGGGCGGGGCCAAATGACCGACTTTTGAAAGCTTCTTTTGAATTGGTCAGTCCACTGAAGAATAATACGTCACCAGCACAGGTCACAGAGTACTTTACTACGTATTTGAAGCAAGGAAATACAATGTTTCTAATCATATCAGCATAGTGTATTTATTAAGGTGTGTTAGAATGGGGATATTACGTTGTTTTTCGTGTCTATACTAGCGATTAGAACATGAAATTTGGTTTAAACTCTCAATCAATCAGTCTCCAGTTCAAACAAAATCTAATGTTCTAATTGCAAGTATAAAAGCCACTCAAAACATCCTACTATCCCCTAAATATACAATCACTTAAAACAATATAACTGTGATAACCTGTCATCAATATTAAGTTTATTTTTGTGTGAAACATAAATATTGTTAATATTATATTGTCATGTAACAATTTTGGTTTGTTTGTGTTTTACGTCCTGTTAACAGCTATGGTCATTTAAGGACGTGCCAATGTTTTGTGGTGGAGGAAACCCGTAGTTCCCAGAGAAAAACCACTGACATTGTAACGGCCAGTACCTGGCGACTGCCCCACGTAGGTCTCGAACCCGCGACCCAGAGGTGGAGGGCTAGTGGTAGCAGAATGTCAGAAGCATCAATCACTTGGCCACCGTGCCTCCTTCATATAATAAAGAGATAAACGGTCAGTTAATATACTTACATTATTGTTGGTGAGTTGACCTACGATGTACGGTCCTACGAACCCAGGAATGGTGGCCAGGCAGTTACTGATCCCCATAAGTGTCCCTGTGTAGACAAGAGGGTTAAAAATATGTAATTAGAAATATACTGTATACCGGAAACTAGTAAAATATTTCCCTTCACCAATAAATTCATATTCACCCAGTGCTTATTTTGCCTTCACACGTAATTACACTACTATTTATGGTATGGTGTGTTTTTATATTGGCTGTCATGATAGATTTCTATCTCACCCTTCACAGATATATATGCCTCCCATTTAAGCAGAAAGAGTTCAGCTTTCACTCCCTTAAGTGAAGATAGCCCCGTGCAGAAAAGAAAGAGCTACATTCTGATGTCATAAAAAGAGAATGGCAATCCTGACGTCATAAAAAGGTGAATGGTGAACATTCACATGCCAAATATCCTTTTGTTTACAAATATAACTACTGCTGGTTGAGTTGTGACTGAAATAAAAGGATGAGAAAAAATAATCATCCCCTACCTAAGAAGGTGAAACAGAGAAGTCTCCGATCCTCAGGGTGATTATTTGTTTGTCTAACTCTCGGCAGAGCCTCAGGTTGGACAAACAAATAAATTGTCCTTTGGATTGGAGATTACTCTGTCACACAGTCAAGGTAGAGAAAGATTCTATTAGCCCTCATTGTGGAATTAGTACAAAAAAGGCAAACATTTCGATGGGGCGAAAATTTCCTGGTTTATAAAGTAGAGACCAGATATTACTCATTTTATTGCCCAAGCTTACTTTTATTTATCAAAATCGTCTTTAAAACAATTTCAATTTCCCCTTTCCAACATAAAAATACCGATGTTCCTTCTGAACCAGATTTCTACTAAAACTATTACAAATACATTAAGAAACATGCACGATAATATTTTTTAATCTTGCTCAAATAAAAGCGCTAGGTAAAGAGTGTTTCCAATAGGTGTTATTAAAAATTACATTACTACTGAATTCCCCCACTCCCAATTTTACCAAAAGATTTTCCTTGTCCAGCTTACCTGAAAAGTTGGGTGCAATATCTAGATGATTGACGTTGAACCCGCCCATACATAAACCACCGAGTCCTACAGCGAAAGTTAGCAGGGTCACCACTACAATGTGGTTACAGCCAGCGTATCCTATACAAAACATCAGGACGGCCGGTAACATCAACCCTGTAGTGGGGAAAACAAAACAGAGTTAATATTGAACTTAACTGAACAGTATTGTGTAGGTTCATAAAAGAGTTTCCAGTTTATAAAAATAAAATTCATCTATGTACATTTATATTAAACAGTCGGATTGTTTCAATGTTGATTTTGTTCCCCCACTTTACCCCCTCATATCTTAGAATGGTCTCAAAGCTGTCCTTAATTTCATGTCATATTATGTACAAAAAATGAAAGTAACTGAACTAAAAAAAAAAGGAAATTGCTTTTAGACCCTTTAAGGATTCTCGTGCAACTGTCAAAAAATGTAATTACGCATTGAAAACTGTTTTTATCATGACTACAGCTTTGATAAATCATTTCTGAAAAGTGAAAAGAAAACAATACTTTTGGGACCTTTATGAAAAATTGTATAGCTGAAAAACGAAATACAAGAAATCCTAGAAGGATCTTGGCGCCCACCACCAAGGGATCTTTATCTGATCTACAAAAGATGAACCTTTACTTTCTTTTCTCTTCATTTTCCTTACAGATATTATTACCAAGTCCCATGCTGGAAATTCTAAACTGTAGTTTTATACAATGACTTAAACCTTGTAATGTCAGATGTTTATGCAGCTATGAGAAATGATATTGTATTAGAATTGCAAAATAGTACCTATATGCAAAATGCTAAAATTTTGTTATTCTTGCAAATTAGAAGTGCTGACAATAGGAGATGAATTCTCATTAGGGCCAGGTGTATTTTTATGTGATGATGGTGGGCTAAAAGTCAAGAACAGTAGGTGCAAAATTCAGTGCGACTAGACCCTTCTAACCCTAGATTTCAGATTGTTATACTATCGTTCTAACCTACTGAGCTACCTGGTCAACAGAAGTTTCCTGGCCAAACAGTGCTTAGACACAGTTAATCCAAGATAAATTAAGGGGAGGTTACCGTACGTATGAAAAGCCAGAATATGCAGTTGGACAAGGATCCTTAAGCTTGACCAGTGACCTCCAAAATCTTATTTGGAGTAGGAGCTGATGTTACCATAATATGGTGTTTATGGTGTTAAGGGGTTCATGATATATCTTGTACACAAGCTCTTTACTATGGAGGACTTGACAGACACACAACCACACACTAACAAAGCACTTACTATTGTGGCACATTTTAATTGTACATAGGATTATAGTTGCCCTCAAACTTTGTGCTACAGGGAATATCCCTTTAGCTCAGTGGTAGAGTGTATGACTAGAAAGTCAGGGATTGCCGGTTTGTTCCCTGGTGAAAGCATACTATTCTCTTGCCTGTTACACTATATAACACATCCCCCTCATCCCCATCCCTTCCTCTATCTACAAAAGTTGGAGCTAACTATTATAAGTAAATCTGAACTTGGTTGTGTAGTTGAGATACATGTATCAGGATTTAAGACTGATATGAATTGCATTCTGTGTCGTAAACGTACTCACCCAAGGTCATGAACATCTTGCGGGTATTTTTTGTGGACAGGTAGCCATTTTTACGTATAAAATCAGCTATTTGTCCTGATGATGTCTGACAAATACAGCATACAACGTATGGCAGCGCAGACACAAAACCATTCTAAAAATATAAAACAAATCAGCAATCATCATCAGAAGTAAGATATACATTCAGGATTACATAAGATGTATATCAGCAAGAAAGTTTTTTCCCCTCCAACTTAACACAGACGTACATGTATATAACAAAAGGGCATTGTAATAGGTTTAATTACTTACAGGTAAAAGATACAGAATAAAAAGAGGCATTTATACATGTATGATATACATTTACTTATCCATGCTGAAAAGAGGAGGATTATCATGAAGTTGTAGCGGAACTAGACTGGGTTGATCGCGGTGACCTGGTACATGTAGCTCTATCAGGAGAGTGACTGTTTAATATAAATAATAGTTCGAGTTCTTATATAACGCTTTATCAAAACCTAGTTGGTAGGTCGTCTCAAAGCGGGTAACAATTTATTATCAGTAGTTACATGGCCTAAGCGTGTAATTATCAAATCCGTAAACTTTCATTGAAATCGGCCAATTAGTTTAGGAGGCAGACAAAGTTTTTTTTTAACAAAGGGTCATAACTCCTTTTAAATGGGTCGGAATGAAAAAAAAATCTTTAAAATCGACCCAGTAGATTAGCAGAAGTTGTCAGGACAAAGATTCTTCAACAAAGTGCCATAACTCCATAAAAAAGTTGAAAAAAATACCTGGATACACAACACCAGCTGGTAGTTATCATATCTGAAAACTTTCATTGAAATTGGCCCAGTAGTTTTGGAGAAGTTGTCCAGACAAGGATTTTACAACAAAGGGCAATTATTTCGTAAAAAAAAGGTCAGAATGAAAAAATAATACCTGGGTGCACAACTTCAGGTGGTAGTTATCATATCTGGAAACTGTCTTTGAGATCGGTCCATAACATTAGAAGGAGTTGTACAGACAAAACATTTCAGGATTTTTTTTCAACAAAGGACCATAGCTTCGTAGTAAAGGGCCAAAATGAAAAAATGATACCTGGATGCACAACTTCAGATGGTAGTTATTATATATGGCAATTTTTGTTGAAATTGGTTCATTACTTTAGAAGAAGTTTTTCTACGAACAGACAGATGGACAGACAATTCAGCTGATTCCAGTATACTTCGTTGCGGGGGGTATAACAATAATTTATATTATTTATGTACATACCTGAATAACACTTGTGCCCTACAAATTCTACTGAGAAATCTTATGTCATTACCGTACCAGCTTAACTGCAGGCGCATTCCCTGTTCCCAGGACATTTGCCAAAGTGGGAATTAAGGGGTCTGTTTGTGGATAAATACGGTAAGAATGTTGCCTAGTTAATAAGCTGTCATTACTCTCTCTCTATAGGCTATGTACTCTGTGAACTTCAATTTTATCATCATCAATCTCTAAGCCGTTAAAGGGAATATTATAAACACCTGTTCATGACAGTATAAAACAACACCTTTTATTATTACATATTACATACAGCAATACCTACTAATTATATAACAATACCAGCAAATAAAAATTGTATGTCTACATAAAGTGCTAACAATAAAATATGAAATATAAAACAGATATTTCAGACACATGTATTGACACATCAATTATGTGAGAATGTATATTACATGTATACTGAGTGACAACATTACCTCTGATATATCAAAATTGAGAATGTGTTTCATATACGAGGGAAGACTTGTCAACATGGTGTAAAATCCCCAGTTGTTGGCGAAGTGACCAGCACAGATCCCCCACACCGCCTTGGACGTGAGGATGGCCTTCCAGGGAGTTCGCACTCGCTGGAATGAATAATACATATACATTATTGGCCATTTGTCAATCATCTACCATATACGTTGCTAATATATTATTTTTACAAGTATTTCAAAAAAAAATTGTAGTTCATTATCAAAAATTATATAAATATAGAAACTTTCTTTATTTTACAACAATTATGAAACAAGTTATTTCAAATTATATTTATCATTCTTGTTGGCTCAGAAGTTAGCACGATGGGGGTCTTAATGTGGAAGGAAACCAGAGGAAACCGATGTGGTTGAGCAGGTGACCCCATAAGTTGTCATGTCCACTCGTAGAATCAATTCCTTACCGCCTTTTGTGAAAGGTGAGAACGTTATCCACAACACAACACGACTAACCGGGTTTCATGTACAGGGAAACGTGTCATCAATCCAGATAACTTGGCTTTCATCATCCTAAATTTTTAAGTATCAGTAATTGTTCTCTCTTCAAATGAATTATTACCGACCTGCAGATGTCTTATGATAATGTCTAGTTCTAACACGACCTATAATTGTCTACGTATGTGTCCCAGCCTACAGATGTCTAGTGTTCCAACCCTCGGGTTTCTATGAAAGTGTTCCATCGTTACCTACCTGTTTTAGACCTATAGATGTCTCTATGTACGAGCGTTCGTCCAGTGATATCGTCGGATGTTTGGCAGGCGTGTCATACACCACAAACATCCACACTACAAACCACAAGCACCCGAGTAAACCTGTAAATCAAAGGTCATACTTATCATTAATTCCAGAATCATCTAATCGAAAATAATATCATTATTAGTTCAATTATGTTGAAGTTGAAGAGGTTATCTCATAAGTGATGGTTGTAAAAGTTGGCATTTAGACCCAAAGGCCCATCCAGGTAGCATATTTGTAATTGTTTTCTCATACCCAGCAATTGTATATATGGTTATGGAGTGGGAATCTCAAATGTTCCATTAAGATCTTGGAACAAAGTTCATCAGGGCAAGGCAGATCCCAAGGCATATCCTGGTAGCATAAATAGCAATATATCTTTATATATCTTATATGGTTTCAACCGTTTTATAGCTTTTACCTAATCAACTAAGTTGCCAGGGGTGGAACAAGACCCTCGAGTCAATCTTAGTTGCATATGAGTATTTTGCATTCTTGAGTTCAAGTTACTGACAAATACTCCAAATAAACACCTCCATATCAGCTATTTTTTTTGAGTAATTATATTAAAGGACATACATACTGAATATGAAAAATAATCAAATGAAAACAAAGTGAGTGGAGTCTCGCAAAGATATACCCCTATCCCTCTAATCTGTTGAGCCCACTTTAAATTGCAAGTGACCTTTGACCTTTTAACCTAGACTTGTGACCACGAAAATCTATTCAGGTGTAGAACTTGATGTTACCATAATAGTAATGTACCATCAGGTAAATATAAACTAAAGTTGTTGAGGTTTTTTTGAAATATCTTGTACTCAAGTTTTTTACTTCAAAAGTGGTGAAGTGTGATCAGTGATCTTTACCTTTGGCGCTTTTTCGTAGACTGATGATAACCGAAAGCTACTAAAGTTTATATTTCCAATATTACAATACATATACTATCATCTATGGTGTAAATATGAACTAAATGAGTTGAGGGGTTATGTACTACAGACACTACAAACCACAAGCACCCGAGTAAACCTGTAAATCAAAGGTCAAACCTATCGTTAATTCCAGAATCATCCAATCGAGAATCATAAATGTCAATATTATGTTCAATTATGTTGAACCTTTAAGAGGTTATCTCATGATTGATTGGGGAATTTGTTTTTGAAATCTGGTAGATAAAAGGTTGGCAAGACAGACCCAAAAGCCAATCTAGGTAGCCTATATTTGTAATTGTCTTCTGATACAAGCAATTGTATATATGTTTATGGAGTGGGTTCTCATTAATGTTTCCATGTTCTGATCCTGGAACCTAGCCCATCAGGGCAAGGCAGATCCCAAGGCCAATCCTGGTAGCATTAAAAGAAACATACATGTATCTTTATGTTTCTTATTTGGTTTCAACCATTTCAAAGCTATTACTAAATAGACTAAGTCTCCAGGGGCAGGGCTGGGCCGGGCCCTGGAGTCAATCCTAGTTGCATATGATTTTTTTCATGTCTAGAAGTTTTTTGCATATGCAAAATTTGCCGTATTTAAATGGGACACAATTTTGCACATGAAAGAAGTCCCAGTTTTCACAAAAATACAAACAAAATTGATGACCCATGTGTTAGAAAATGGTTAAGGTTATTGGCAAATACTCTTAATAATCACCACCATAGAAACTACTTTGTTACAACAACCAGTTTCACATCATGGATTATTATGAAGACATTCATACTGTATATGAAAAATAATAAAATGAAAACAAAGTGAGCGGAGTCTCGTATAGGTATACCCCCTATCACTCTTCCGTTGAGCCCACTTTAATTTGCCAGTGAACTTTGACCCTTTAACCTTGACCTGCGACCACCAAAATCTACTCAGGTGTAGAACTCAATGTTACCATAATAGTAATGTACCACCGGGTTAATATAAACTAAAATTGTTTAGTTTTTTTTTTAAATATCTTGTACACAAGTTTTTTTCTTCATAAGTGGTGAAGTGTGATCTGTGATCGTGACCTTTGGCCCTTATAATCCTTGACTGATGATCACCAAAATCTTATAAGGTTTAGAACTTGATATTAACATGACATTGTTTGAATAAGTCAGGCAATCCATAGTCCCCCACCGGTAATAATTTCTATATTTAATAAACAGTACACTTATGTCAGGATGTACCTACTGTTAGGACAGTATCCTGATACAAACTTCTTTCACTCCTTCATCCCAAGATGTCCTTGTACACCAAATTTGATTACTCCAGGTGAAATAGTATAAAAGATATGCCAAAGACAAACATTTTCAAAAGTTAGGGTCAAAGGTCAAGTCATAGGTCACAGTTACCTAATTCTTGCACTCTGCACTCTGTCATTCCAAGATGTCCTTGTACACCAAATCTGGTTAATCCAGGTAAAAAGAAAAGAAGATATGACCTGCACAGTGAGGTTATAGTGACCTGCTTCTTGTACTCCATGGGAGAGCGCAAACCTATAGTCCCCCCTCCCCCCCCTCGGGTACCGGACGGGGACTAATAATTAACTAAATGTAAAATGTCAAATACTACGTACAACAGATGTATCAAACTTATATAAAATGTATAAAATAAGTGAAACAATTACCAAATATGTAGAAGACGGAAGGCCAGCCACCAAAAAGGTCCGAGTCACACAGTATCCCAGATATAGGCATGGAAATTACAGTCCCCAGCTGGGCCCCTGTATAGATAATAGTTTATTAGTTAATTAGCGGCATTTTAATTTAACCACAATTCTTAAATCAGTATCTAGTGGTTATCTTATAATCAACAATAATCAACAATAATCAACAGGGTTAGAAACTGACAACACCTCATTAACAAGTTTATTTGTGAACATTTTGCAGATTGTTTGTATATTTAAGCATACATTTGGTATCAATAACTTTGTTGTGGTGTTAAGTAGATTATCCAGAAAAGCTACCACTATATACTTGTTATATGTGTAATATTGTTTCATTCCAAATGTACATGTCAGTTTATTACACAATCATGGGAAAGTAGAAGGAAAAAAAACCAGCTTTACATTTGAAAAAAATGCATCTTTACTGAAGTAAGTTAAGAAATAAAATTTTCAGTAAAGATGTACAAAATGTCTTCTTTACATGTATTAAGGTCCAGTAATGACTTAATATTGACCAATTAGAATGATATTTTCTATTAACTGCATTCAAAATTTCAAATTTTCTGTTCAACTGCAGATGAAGCAACACCAAGATCACAGGACCTTGTTTTTGTACATCTTTGGTACATACACTTAGTTATTACCAAGTACCTAACTTATTGATAGCATTTTTGTAGGCAGAATTATATACCAAATGATAGCAAACACTTGTTCGAAGTTTTGACGATCGCCTAGCGTACAGGGTGGTATCCAAGCAGAAGCCTAAACGGAACCAACAAAACCAATCTAAGAGCAATGCTATTGGTTATATCTCTGGAACTGTGTTCTAAGTTCTGGATGCAAAATATACAACTATACACACTACCCTGATATATTTAGGACAAATAAGTTACACACCTGCGTATGTAAATCCTGCCAGCTTACTCCTTTCCCAGAGCGGCGCCCATTTACCCCACATGGCACTCATGGCAGGAAAAGTGACTCCCTGTTGATAAAACATAGGCTAATGTACAGATCCTTGTTATGCTTCAAACTTTTAATTAGTTTGTTATACATAATGTTTACAGGTTCAATAATCTAACAAATCCTTTTTAAAGTTGTTACCGAAGAAATATTTAAGGAAAGCAAAAAATCAAGGAATCAAAGATATCCCATTAATATCAATTTAATGGCAATCAATTATTCACATTAAAGGAGCAATTAAAAGTGTGGAGTTACTCTTAAAGAAGAGAAATGAATGCTACAAGTCTGATACAGGAAACCATTCTCATGTTCAAGCATGGATTTTGTGCTCAAGCCGCATTTTTTGTTTCCGTTATAAACTAATAGAAAAAAAATCTTAATTTGTCAATGATTTGCAAAAACATTGAAGAGACTTAAAGATGAAAACTGTTTTCAATGTTTACATTTGACTTTTTAATTGTTTGACATATTGATTGTTGCGAGTTACAAGAAAGTAAGTTGAGCACGAGAATCACTGGTTTCGTGAGTACTGGCCAAGGGGAGGGAAGTGCGATATTAATATTTCTCACCTCTCCCAGGCCTTCTATGACCCTGAGAGCAATGAATGCTCCTAGTCCCAGATGGTTGATGACAACAGGAGTTAGGAGTGTAAGGGCTGCTGTAGACAAGACACCAAAACCAAATAACTTCTTGGCCCCGAACACTTCAGCCAGCCAGCCCCCAGGGAGCTGGGTCACTATGTAGCCATAGAAAAATGATCCCAGGACAATTCCTTGTGTGCTTTCGTCCCAGTTCAAGTCTCCCTGTGGAAAGAAGAATACAGCATTTTATCACTGGATTAAAACTATAACTTTTTTACAACACAATAATATTATTGATGACATGACCTTTCTATTAATTCTATGTATAATTAGGTTGAAGTTTCTTTTTTCTGGGGGCCAGTGTGAATTTCAGTATTCACTGATCTGACAGCTTTTTAAAAAGAAATCTTGCCTAAATGTGTTAGGCTATCTTTTAGAATAAATAATGCACAATTATTATAGATATAACCAGCTTTAAAGAATGTATTTCAAAAGGAATCATCATTTCATTTTAATTATATAATGTATTGAACATTGAGAAGGAAGAAAAAGGGCAAATTTGTGATTATGATTGAATCTTTATAGTGAACCACTGAATGCTTAAATCACCTGTGTTATACCTGTCTAGAACACCTGTCTAATCAATTACCTACCTGTCTAGCCTGTAAGCCATTCACTCACCTGTTTTGTTGTGCTGTTGTCTGACCCATGGGTAGTAGGACAAGCATCAATACTATGGTTGTCAATCTTTTTTGTGTTGTTCACCATGGCAACCAAGGCCACGCTGAGATTGACACGGAGACAGTAGACATTGAAAAAACCCAGGAATGCGAGAACGGCCAGCAAGTGACGTTTTCCAAACTTCTCCCCTGGAACATAATAGTGACATTTGAATGTTACAGAGGAAAGTATTGTAGTTTAACTAAGGTCATTATTTTCTTTATGCCTTCACTAAGGTTCAAACCCAGGACCTACAGTAGTGTATATAACAGAAAACTGCCACATCCGAGGATGTGATTCTTCACTTTATAATGTTGTTAAAGTGTAAGGGAATTTAAAGCAGCATAGCAAACGTTTGTATTGCAATCGAAAAGTTTTAAGTCTCGTCATTTTCACTTTGACAGAAATTCTGGAATAGTTTCCGACAAATCTTTGCTGTCAGTGATGGAAACAGTTACCATAGAAAGCATGCCATAATGTTCGAACACACATAGATAATAATAATAAACAACATTTGATATTATAAGTGCCCTATCTAGAATAAGCCACTTTAAAGTGCTTTACAGTACATAGATATACAATTTATTTAATCAATACAATTAGCATATATACATTAATCGACACAATTTTGAGGAATTCGCAGGAGCTGCCTTATCACGCGCTAACTACTAGTCGTATGCCACCTGGCTAATATCTCCCTATGTGTGTATGCCTGCGTGTGTGCTGGAGATGTATTGTGTTCTGTTTTGTATCATTTATAGTACCACCTCACTTGAATACTACAGCACAGATACCGGTACCACAACATCCACCCCAGACCATTTTATAATTCACCTGGGTTGTTGGAGTTAATCTGGATAAGTCCATTATGGTCTACAGAGGTGAAAGGGTTAAAACAAGTAAAATATATGCACAAAAATTCTGAAAAATTAAGAATTGGTTTTTACTTAAATAAGCTAACATGCAGCGAAATTTTGAAAAATTAACTGATGTTTTTTCTAATTAATAAAGACCATATGCAGTGGAATTCTGAAAACCTACGCACTGTTTCATCTCCAAAACATACCACACAAGAAGATATCTTCACTTTATAGAGCACTTACCTTCAGCTGACTGAGCCATTCTACTATGTCCTTGGGACTTACTGGAACTGTCCTCAATCTCAAAAGATTCAATAATTTTGGTATCCTTATCTACAGATATGTTTTCCTGTTGACCGCCGTCACTTATCACCTTCATTTTCATGATGATACGAAATAAATTACTACATACTCCTGGAAACGTGACTAAATTTATTGGTAATTAAACTTGTATTAACAAAAATGAAGGTAAAGGTAAAAAATCAATTTGACGCAACACCTTAACAGAGTATGAATAAAAACTGACGATTTCAAGTAAAAATTTAATCTCAGTTAGAATCCTTTTAGAATGATCATCTAAACATCGAGATGTCCGTTAGACGCTTAAATAGAAACAACCGTTGATACACTGATGTTATTTATAGTAGGTATGTTGATTCTGAGAGTCAAATTATTCCTTAGTTGTGTGTTTCAACTGCTTGTAGAATCCAAGGGGAAAAGAGAAATTTAAACAAATTAACACTGAATACATTCCAGATCTGCACTAAGCTTGCACGTAAATGCGACTATTTAAATAACATTATCTTATCCATCACTAATATATATGGTGTTATATATCATAGTAAGGTACTTATATCTAGTTTCAAGATGCTCACATGCCTACGTTTATCTAACATGATAACAATTATGTTTGTTTAACCTCACAAACAGTACTATACTGTAACCACACTTACATAAGTAAGTACAGTCAAACCGGTAAAAAAAACTAACCATGAGATGTCCAAAATTGTTGGTCTCTTATTACTTACTACACATTCAATTCACGAAGAAATCACTATGATTGGGGAACATTTAAAATGGTCTCTTAATACAGGTGGTCTTTTGATACCTGTTCAGTTCACAAAGAAATCACTATTGAGCACATTTATAATGGTCTTTTAATACAAGTAGTCTCTTTATATATTCAGTTTACAAACTAGAACACTGACAGGTCAGTAAGGGCCCCGTCTTGTGGCAATATATCCCCCATAATCATCAAGAAGCAATCTGCCCATATAGCTGAGCTTGACGTTTGACATTTGGACTTCAAAAAGAATCGCAAGGAAGCAAAATATACCTTTTTATATGTGCTATGATGTGAGTCTTGTTTCCTTCCACCTCCATATTTGCGGGGCTAACAGAAATGCAAATACCGGGTGCGATACTCATTTGTTAGCTTTGATTTGTTTTATTTCACCTTTAATACCTCCTCCATCAAGGACCAGGGTCAAAGTCAGAGATCCACTTTGTCTTTGACCTTTGGACCCAAATGACATTGAACATTAACCCAGTGACCCTGATTTTTGGTCAGTTGACTTATTCTTTAATTCTGACCAACTTTGCTTCTTATTATCATAACAAAATGTTCGTCAGTGAAAAATACAAAACTTGACCCTTTGGACCCCGTTACCTGGACCTAAGGTCAGTAGACTCTGTACTAAGTTCTGAACAACATTGCTTCATAATGTCATAACAAAATGTTCATCAGGGAAAAGGTACAGAATTTAACCTTCACCTTTGACCCAGTGACCTTGACCTTTGGTCAATTGACCCATTGTTTAATTCTGAGCAACATTGCTTCAAAGTGTCATAGCGAAATGTTCACCAGTGAAAAGATACAAAATTTAACCTTGACCTTTGACCCAATGACCTTGGATCAGTTGACTCCTTGTTTATTTCTGATCAACTTTGCTTCATCATGTCATAACAAAATGTTAATCAGTGAAAATTTGCCAAATTTGACCATGACTTTTGAATCTAATGACCTTGACCTTTGACCTCGACTTTTTACCTCAGTGTGTCTCTTTGTTTAATTCCGAACAACTTTGCTTCATAATGTCATAGTGAGATGTTCACCAGTGAAAAGCTTCAAAATTTGATCTTGACCCCTGACCCGATGACCTTGGGTAAGTTGACTCATTGTTTAATTCTGATCAACTTTGCTTCATAATGTCATAACAAAATGTTCATCAGTGAAAAGATGTAAAATTTGACATTGACCTTTGAACCTAATGACCTTGACCTTTGACCTTGACTTTTTACCTCAATGTGTATTTTTGTGAACTGAACATCTTGACCATTAGTTTCATGTACATCGGTCAATAAATACCAAAGTTATCAGCCAGGAAAAAAATTTGTGGACGGACAGATAGACAGACAGACAAACAGACAGAGTGATTACTATAGGGCACCCGTATCTCTGATACGGGGCCCTAAAAAATCACTATGGAGAACACTTATAATGGTCTCTAATACAGGTGGTCTTTTAATACCTGTTCAGTTTACAAATAAATCACTATTGAGCACATTTAAATGGTCGCTTAACAGGGATGGTCTCTAAATACAGGTTCAGTTCATTATGGATTTACGATTGGGAACTTTTAAAATGAAGGGTGGTCTGGTAATGCCAATTCAGTCCACAAAGAAATCACTTTAGTGAGAGACATTGAAAGTGGTCTCCCAACACAGGTGGTCTCATGATACTGATTCAGTTCACAAAGAAATGACTATAGTGGGAGACATTGAAAGTGGTCTCCCAACACAGGTGGTGTCATGATACCGGTTCAGTTCGCAAAGAAATCCCTTTAGTGGGAGACATTGAAAGTTGTCTCCCAACACAGGTGGTCTCATGAACTATAGTGGGAGACATTGAAAGTGGTCTCCCAACACAGGGGGTCTCATGATACTGATTCAGTTCACAAAGAAATGACTATAGTGGGAGACATTGAAAGTGGTCTCCCAACACAGGTGGCCTCATGATACTGATTCAGTTCACAAAGAAATCACTTTAGTGGGAGACATTGAAAGTGGTCTCCCAACACAGGTGGTCACATGATACCAGTTCAGTTCACAAAGAAATCACTTTAGTGGGAGACATTGAAAGTGGTCTCCCAACACAGGTGGTGTCATGATACCGGTTCAGTTCACAAAGAAATCACTTTAGTGGGAGACATTGAAAGTTGTCTCCCAACACAGGTGGTCTCATGAACTATAGTGGGAGACATTGAAAGTGGTCTCCCAACACAGGTGGTCACATGATACCGGTTCAGTTCACAAAGAAATCACTCTAGTGGGAGACATTTAAAGTGGTCTCCCAACACAGGTGGTCACATGATACCGGTTTTGGTTCACAAAGAAATCCCTATAGTGGGAGACATTGAAAGTGGTCTTACAACACAGGTGGTCCCATGATACTGATTCAGTCCACAAAGAAATCACTTTAGTGGGAGACATTGAAAGTGGTCTCCCAACACAGGTGGTCTCATGATACCGGTTCAGTTCACGAAGAAATCACTATAGTGGGAGACATTGAAAGTGGTCTCCTAACACAGGTGGTCTCTGAAAGTATATGGTCAGATGAATAGGATTTTTTGTAGTACATCTATATTTCTGTATATCAGTTACAACCTACATATTATAAAAAAACATGCTTTAGCACTAGAGTTAATATCATCTGATAAGTCAATGCTCACAAATAAGCCCATTCCCCTCTTTGATAAATATCCCAGGAATTTAGTTCCTGCAATTAGAATTTGTAACTCACAGTTGTTTTAATTACTTATAGATCATATAAGGTACCAGATATTTACCTGCTGAAAATGATGATTTTTTTTTTTATCTAATTTTATTAATTCAATTATATTTCATCTTAAACTCATATACTCATATACCTTTGTTTGGTGTGTATTATAATCATTGATCAGTGACTGTTGTTGGACAATATTCAGAGTCTTGATAATCGTTTTCAAATTGTTTACACATGACAGTATGTTATCAATATGTAACGAAGTCACAATTTATATATATGGTCTTTGGTGAATGAAGGTGGTTCTTTGTTTAATATACATCATGAATTTACTTTATAATTTATGCACACTTAACTGTTAAATATTATAATTATAAACGACAGACCAATATAGACATATCTATGTCAAATTCTTAAATAGTTAATTGATAGTATGTATACTAGCCCTTTATTCCTCTGGCCCTGATACTAACCTGCGTTTCCTCTGGCCCTGACACCAGACTTGGACATTTTTACAGATAAATGTCTGGTGAAACTAGCCCAAATTTCCTGTGGCCCTGACAACAGACAGCTGTGATATTTTGACAATGAGACATATGTCATAATCATCATCATCATCTTCCCTGGACAGGAATTAACTCTGTGTGCAGTGTGTTATTCCAGGGACATGCTGCAAGCATGCCAAAGCCACCAGTTAAAACAATGATATTTTGGTAATTTCAATATATAAGGTAAAAACAAGCACTGTCCAGGACCTCAGGGCTTTTTTCAGCAGATCCAGGTTTGGGCCAAGTCTGGTGTCAGGGCTAGATGAAACTCGGGTTATGATAGTACCTATACTATTGTATAACGGGTTTTTTTAAATTCTGATTTGTAGTGTCACTTTTATTTACCAACCTGTAAAGGTGTAATGTTTATAATTACCTGGGGGAGGCAAAACTTCCTCTTCCTGTACATTGCTCGTCCTATCACCAAGTAAGGGTTTCTTCTGTTCATCTCTCTCCATTATTCCTTTTGATCCCGTGGAGACAACCTATCAGTTTTTTGTCAAATTTAATTCATTATAACAGCTGAACCCGTTATCAGCCATACAGGTGTGTATATAAAGTGGTATTCTTAGATTCCTTGTGTTGTCAGATCAGCTGACATTTGGCCTCTTCCACATGGACTTTAATTTGTTTACGTTGAAGAACGGGTGGCAAGGGAAGCAACTCTTTTAACTTTCTTGGCTTTGGCCTGTAACCTGCAACCTCCTTCAGCATAACGCTGTTTCGCCCCGCTGTTTGAACTTTTCTCCGACATGATAATAGAATTTATAAATGCTTTCGTAAAAGCAACACATACCTTGCGGAATTTTCAAATGATTGTTTCGGACTTTATTTTTCTAATTTGATACAGTTGTTACGGCAGTAGCGGATCACTTTACATATAATTGCTACACACGATTTTTGCAAAACTTTTTTTTAAAGACATCATATATTTTCAGAAAGTGCATTTAATTACCTCTCCAGTGATACACTTTTTCCGAGGTAACTGATCGCATCTAATTATTAATTGAAGCCTTTGCAACGAATACACTTTAAATATAACTCCAATACATGTGCCAACTCTCAAAACATATGTTGAAATTTGAAATCGTGAATGCACGTGGAACGATGCTATGCGAATGCATACGCGTGCGCAGATGAACACTGATCCGTTATAGCCGAAAAATCACACATCGGATACGACACAATAACGCATGTAAGCATTATCCAAGATTACCAAACAATACATGATTCTGAAACAAAACAATATAATTCATCATTTAAATGCATATTTATTTGGTTGTAAGTGTGTATTTTAATAGAATCTATTTCTTCATCGAACCGTCCGTTTTCCAAGATGGCGGTCATCGCTAGAGGAGCAGATTGAGAAAATATAAAATTCGGGATTTCTGGACATGATACGTATATGAAGTTATTTTGTTTGTTTGTACATTATAAGAAACAACTTGTTACCATGTGCAAACAATTAATTTCTTTCTAGGATCAATACATTTTGTGTAATCAGCTTTTGTTGATCCGCTACTGCCTTAACAACTGTGATGAAAATGAAATATAGTTAGGCCGCATATTCCTCATTTGACGGAATGAGATTTCGTTTGAAGAAAAAAATGTCCAATGGTCGTATACATTTTTAAAGGGACGAAAATCCATGTCTATTTGTACTCCTATCATGGTAATAAGCACTTAAACTACATGATCATTAAAATCACGCAACTATACTGTTAATTTAAAAAGTAAAATTTAAGAAAGCAAAAACGTCATTCTAATTCAAATCTCCAAAGATCCTGCTGCATATAAACAAAAAAATATCACAATTTTTTATTGGAGTCCAATAATGCGGCAACATTTATCTTAGGAAGGAAGCCTGCACGGTAAGATTTTCGTCCCGAATCCGTATCTGAGGGTATTTTGCTTTGATTTTCAGTGGCGCGAGTGGGAAATGTCTTTCACGTACCGATACATACCGGTATATTCACATCTAAATGCAAGGACCTCGACCTTCACTGGTGTTCAACGCGATTCAGCAGAGTATTTGGTTTTTCCATGCAGTAAAACTGTTTTATTCCGGGTAAGGTCACGCAATGTTCCAAAATCAGACAGAAATCAATACCTTCAAATGTTGAGGAATGGAGACATGTTTGGGTCGAACATATCCTGACGTCTCATTTTCAATTATGGCTTTAACTTCTTAGAAGGTACCGGTGTTGATAACATTGTACCTCATCCTACCGGAGTGGCGTCCCAGGTTTCAACTGACGCCGGAAAAACAGCATCTTTCCGGTCATACTGAAGACGTTAGAAATTTAATTGGTTGTTATAGGGCAACAAAAGACATACAAAAACAGTACGAACATTGTGTGATTCAAACTAAGTCCAATTACCATAAGTGCCATGCATCTGCTAGCATGAAAGATCTATTAACTTTTCATCCTCGACAGTGGTCAAAGAGCCAGTGCCGTTGATAGCGAGACTGTGATGAGGAGGCCGGGTAACCCTCTGAGTATCAATATGGACACTGCAGATTATAAACTCTGCTTTCTGTTATGTCTCCTAAAAGAATATTGACCAAAATCCACAATTCTGCTGGTCCCCACAATTCTGCTGGTCCCCACAATCAATAGCACACATGGAAATTCTGTTGGTAACGACATTCCACTCAAGTCTGCTGCATGGACAGCAGACCAGGAATACTATAGGGTCTCGTTGTCCAGTGCTAGTGATTGACTAAGTAGTCCGACTTTCCTCTGGCCGCCCTAACACAAGACTTAAACTTTTTGATAGATATGTCAAAAATCAAAATGTCGAAGACTGGTGTCAGGGCCAGAGGGGATCGGGCGCTGAGTAAGCAGCTACAGTTGAAAGTGTCCGCACCCTGTTTTTAAAACTTGTTTCCCTTAACACCATGCTAGATAGTATTGCTATGAGCTGGTCCCAAGGACACCCGAAAGTGTACCACGGATTTCAAGTTCCGATAGGACAACCGTCTGATTCGTCCAATATTCTTTACTAATGAAAATAACCAGATACAATGATAACACAAGCTTACAACATTTTATGACGGGTGCATATTCAAATTATAGCTTTAAATACGCACATGAATGAATATTCATGCGTACTATCTTATATCTTTACCTTTTTGAATCAATGAAAAATAGTCATGATTTTAAATACATCTAATTGTTGTTTATCTGAGGAATGACCATCAATTAATTCTTGTTAATTCTTGTTGCATATATCAACTGAAAAAAGTAGAGAAGTGGTATTTTTAATACAAAAACAATACATTGTTAGCATGCATTTTATGTAATATAAACATCAAACAAGTTTTTCAAGATTAAGACAAGTGTGGAAGCTGCGGTTGCAAAACATGGCTTTTCCCGATTGAGATTGGCGCCAGACGATTCCTACACAATATGTGTGGAGAATGCTAAGTGCCCTAGGGAGCAAAGAAGGCAAGAGAAAGCTTAAAGCGAGCTGAAAGCATCCAGCTGGCTGTGGATCAAGAGGGAGGAGAAGAGCTGGTAGTTAATCATTGAACAGCAGTGCTTGATAAGCACTGCGGTTCCAGCGCCCGGAGAGAGTCAGATAAGGTGTAATTCATGTTTTGGGCTGTAAGGGTGCAATTCTACTTTTTGATTTAAACATATTTAATGCCGATTACTAGCAATGGTATTGGGCACAAGTTGAACAACTTATACGAAGCCCTTTCCCTACAATTATACATTTAGTTTAACTACAATTCAAGATGGAAAAAATACATATGATTAACTGCGTATTATAATAGATCCACTCACGAACACTTACTCCGATCACACACGCATTCAACCACACACACGCACCACACACGCGCACACACATACATTTAGACACGAGAGAGAGAGAGAGAGAGAGAGAGAGAGAGAGAGAGAGAGAGAGAGAGAGAGAGGGAGGTTCCTCCTTATTCATGACTGAGTTTTGTCTTACTGGCGACACGATGAAAACATATTTGCGACAGATTATTTTTTCGAAATACGTCTGCAGTCTGAAAATACAACGGTAAGAGTGTGGTTATCGCTATTCTGGTTTTGATATCATCTGACATCGCAAATGTCAACAGATCACCAAATGTAGGATCATTTGACTTCATATCAGTCCATTGTGACGTGATGTCCTCTTAAGTTTGATAGCATGTGGTGGTTTTCGTCCGACAGTTTTATTGGCTGACTGTTTATGTTTTAACCAATGAAACTTGATTACACAACAACACCAACTAATGTTTTGTAAGTTAACACCGTTGTACCATGTTTTCTTTTTGCCGATTTTAAAATCAATATTTGTAAAAACTTAATACTAATTTGAATCATAAGTCCATGAATGTTATGCACTCCATCAAAACCTTATGAAACGAACAGTCTCGTCAATCAATGATATAAAATGTAAAAGAATAGGTGGTAGGCTCCGGGTCACTTTAAATTATTTGGTCGTGCTCTCCCGGATTTTGATATAATCAGATCCTGTATTTTTTCTGTCATCACAGCATCTCTAGGGATTAAGCCTGAAAATGGAACATTTTACATACGTTACCTTTGTTTAATTCAAGTCATTAATTTATATAGTGATGTACGATACCAAAATATATCACATATATTCCAAAACCCGAGCACCTCTGCGCTTACCTGCTTATATTCATCTTAACCGGAAAAGGAAAAAAATGTGTGAAATGAAAAGACGAAACTTTCTTATATATCATGTGTTGTGAAGTATGGGGTTATAGTCCTGCACCACCGATTGAAAATATACATTTATTATTTTTAGAAACCTTATTGGGTGTCAAGAAAACAGATAATAATGCCATGGTGTATTTCGAACTTGGTCATTACCCTTTGTATATTCGATCTGCGTCAACTTCGCGAGCCAAGGGTTTTCAATAGGAGAGTATCGCATTGAACGCCCTTGACTCGCGAAGTTGATTCTGCGTATGATTGCTATCTTTAAGTACTGGCTGCAAATATTAAAGACTGGTAACTATATTTTGGGGACCTGTTACGATGAACTTTTAGAGCTTTATAACAGGAAACCAAATTGTAAAACAAATTGGATTTATCATCTGAGACGTGATTTGTGTACGTTGGGTTTTGGATATGTGTACCAAATGAGACATTTTATTATCAGTATACATGTATATACAACGTATAAAGGATACTTTTGTTCAGGAAATGAGAAACATATTCGAGACATCTTCAAAATGTTTATTGCATACACACATTGTTGACCGTTTTGATCTACAGTGGTATTTTACAGACCCGCTATTTATTTTTTTAATGTTTTCTTGCGAAATATAGATTGCAAGCACATAACCTTAATATAGCGACATTTAGATAAAATGCAGTGCCTTGAAAACAGAGATTGTGTACTTTATGTGATCTTGGAGATGTCAAAGATGAGATTCATTTCATTCTTATTTGTCCTGTATTTTTAGAATTAAGATTATCTTATATCAAGCCATATCATCGTATTCATCCTTCGGTGTTTAAGTTCATAGAAATACTGTCTAGCAAAAATTTAAAACTTATAAGAAATTTAAATAAGTACTGGATTCAAGCAACTTTTGAGAGAAGTCGTTTATGATGAATATATAAGCTATATCAAAGTCTTGCTATAAGCTTCTTGTTAATGTATAACGGAATTGAGATCTATGTCTTTTACTTAACAAAGAGTGTATAATCTCATTTCAATATTAAATATATAGTAAACGTTCTATCTTCATGTTAAGATTGTATGATTGACTTTGGGGTTTTTATTTCCTAGAAATTTGGCTAGCTAGAGGCATTTTTGTGAAATTTCATAAACAATTAAATTATGCTTCATAACTTTAAGAGTCCGCTAAGTTACCTTAGGAAAAGCTTTACGTTTTTCTGCACTTATAATCATTTCATGTAATTATCATGTATGGAATTGAATCTATTGCATATGTTCTCCGCCCTTGTACAAGATATTTGAGAAGTATTGACCAATATGTATATTTCTACAGACCTTATGCAATGTGCATTTGGTAATAAATTGAATTGAATTCAACCCCTAGAATATTAAAGATGGCGTATACGATGCACCATTAAGTCTAGTACTAATATAAGCACCCTGCTTATCGCAGCTATAGTGATACAAAGTGCACAGAAACGACCACGAAAAGGCATAGTGAATTATGGGTAATAAACATAGCCATGCCGTGGTGGATTTATAGGTTTAGATCACGTTTTACTTTATACCTTCTGCTTGAAAAAATATCACCACGTGGCTCGTTCCACGGCTGCTCGGAGCCCTCTGCTAAGAGCAAGTAAAGAAATGTCCCTGTCGCATATACCCCGGAACAGATGAGAAACACTATCTGCCATTGCTCTTGGGTTTGCTAGAAAATAAGACATTGAATGGGATAAACTCGGTTGTAACACATGAAGCATTCATGTTTTCATTTACTAGCGTTAAATAACCATTACTTTTATCCATATGTTGTAAAGCGCTTTAGAGTAATTTTACAAATTATATAGAGTGCTATATACAAGTTGTATATTATTTATTATTATTATTAAAAGGAAACCTTTCATACAATTATATACTTGAGTTATTTACGGTACGTTTTCTCTCTATCATTTCCTTCAGCTACTTAACTAAAGCTACCTGTCATCATTTACCTGGATTATATAGAAACATTTCATATACCCTTTTATTTAAGTTGATTACGGTGAGGTTTTCCCCACCATTAACTTACCTAATATAAATAAAGCTTTCAAACAATTATATATATGAGATATTTACGGTAGTTTTTCCTTCCATCATTTACAGTTATATCTACGGTTATTTTTGTTGTCGCCGTTAACTTGCGTAATACTCATAAATCTTTCATACAATTATGTAGTTTGAGTTTTTACGGTAAGTTTTTAAAAGTCCGTTTTCCTGTCATCATTTACAATGTTATTCACGGTAAGTATTTTTTCCATCATTTTCTTACGTAATACAGATACAATTTTCTTAAACTCTTGTACTTGAGTTATTAACAGTAAGTTTCCTCCCATCAAGTACTTCTGTCTTTTAAAGTAAGTATCCTGCCATCATTTACAATGTTATTTACGGTAAGGTTTTGTCCATCACTTACTTACGTTATACACAGAAAGCTTTCATACAATCATATACCTGAGTTATTTACGATACGTTTTCCTTCTACGATTTTCTTCAGATATTTGAAGTAAGTAAACTGCCATTATTTACAATGTTATTTACGGTAAGGCTTTTCTCACCATTTACATACGTGTTTTTCATAAAAAAAAATACTTGGGTTATATACGGTAAGTTTTTATTCTATCATTAACTGCTGTTATTTAAAATTAGTAATTTACAATGATTTGTATTGTAAGATTCCTTGCTATCATTTACTAACGTAACACACAGACAGCGTAAAGTGTCCTGCCATCATTAACAATGTTATTTGCGGTACGTTTTCCAGCCGTCATTGGCAATAGTAACGCACAAAGTGTTCATACTATCATTTCCCTGTTCTTGCTATAATTTACAATGGTGTTTATGGTAAGATATTTGCCATCATAAACTTACGTAATACACAAACTGATTCTCATACATTCATGTACTTTGAGTTTTCTATGGTAAGTTTTCCGTCTACCATATCCCTCAGTTAATCAAAGTAAGTATCCTACCATCAATTACAATGTTATTTACGGTAAATTTCCTTGCTACCGTTTATTTACATTATTTATCAATTATCTTACTATCATATATGTTATTTACGGTAAGTTTTCCTATTACAAGTTGTTTACGTTATTGACAGTAAGATTTCTTAATGTATTTATTTGCGTTATACACAACATGTTTTCATACAACCATTTACATAGCTATTGACATATAAAAAAAAATCCAGCATGCTGTCATTTTAACTGCTATCTACTGTAACCATGGACGAGCTTGACAGTGCAAGTGTGGTGTAGAATGACACTAAGACTGGATTACAATATATACAAAATTATATTTACAAAATATACACTATGGTTTTGTTATTTATAAGTAGTATAAACCCTTGCTTTCTCACTCTCACATAAAGTAAGTATAAACAGCAACATAAGAATCACACAAAGCAGATAGATATACTAATACTGAAATTGCACAGGTAACTATACACTAGTACTGGCAAAGTCAATGTATCGGTCACTGTATGAAATCACTGCCTGGATACAGTTTTGTTTTCTTACTATTTTTACGATATCATTTACGGTAAATGTTCCTTCTACCATTCATTTCATTTATATAGGTTAAGTTTCCTGCTTTTAATTACATTATTTAGAGTAATCTCCAGTCATTTACTTACGTTATGTACAGTGAGTATTCCGACTAATAGAGGCCCAGCGATACCCGGGATGGTGGCCAGGCAGTTACTGATTCCCATCAACGTCCCTGTTTCAAACGAAAGGCATACGAATAGAAAATGCAATACTTTAAATCACATAAATTCCCCTTATGTTGGTATGCCTTTCCCCTCATTTATTCTTACAATGACATATAAGAGAGACAGAGAGGATGGGTTCTGAAATCGTCAAGATTCCTAAATGTAATCAAATCCATTGTTAAAAAAGCGCTTGTTTTGGCCCTCTGACACATTATCAGAACCCTTTATCAAATTGCTACAAAGTCGTTTGGGTATCAGATGAATAGCAAATGATGGGTCTATATTTGGAGTCAGGACATTACAAAGTGATCGCGGTCCAAGGGCTGCTGAAAAAGACGGCAATTTGAGAGAAAAAAAGTATTCCATCTTCAATGGAATTTGGACATAAGTCACAGAATGTGCTGTTTATGAAATTATATGTAAATCTATGTTTATTAAAGCGCTTAGATCCATTAGCAATTTACAGTGATTAATAATATTTCTTTTTCCATGACCATAAGTAAACAAGGAGTTCGATTTAGGGGTATTTGATTCTTACAGGAGTCTTTCAGTTTAGAATTGTTTTAGAGAAGAAAGAATTTCAGGAAACTACCGGCATGATAGTACTAGTATTTCTAAAGTTGTACGAGTAAGATGTGCTGTGAGTGGGCAGTGAGATACTAGATAGGATTGTGCTAGATGCTGTTTGACCTTGTAGAAAAGTTTAAGCCGATTATTTTCCGTCTGTCAGCCAGAGTTTCCCTATCGATTTAGTGTAATTCGTGGCCCTATACAAATTATTGTTGCTCAGCCTCTTGTTTGGACACGTTCGAGAAGGTCTGCTTTGTATTGCGTACAACTGTCAAAAACAACACTGCAGTATTCTAAAATCGACCTGACCATAAATTCATATATTGTTTTTAAACAGTTACTTTGAAGGTTAAAACTATTACATTGAACAGCATGTAGGACTACATAAGCTTTGGCGATTATGTCGATCTGGATGATGAGGAACGAAGCAAAGGAATTCTCGCGTGTGGAAAGATTCACACTGTGATTCTTTCCACTGCTCGAGGTGTGGAAATCATTGCGCTGTCAATAGTTCTGAATTATATATCATCTATTTAATCTTTTTTTTTAATAATGAACTCAACGAAAGCAATGCAAACATTTTCCACACCGCGGAAATTTCCACTTTTACAGACTCTTCAATGGACGATTCCTCTTGGGAATTAGTAGCAGGAGCTACTATGTCATTCATCATTGCTAAGATGATATAGGCGATGTAAAGAAACACACTACCGACAGACAACTTTCGAAGACAGGACGAAATTAGGAGCTTCTTGCACCTTTGGCGATATCCCCTCTGCACATGCAGAGTTTTCTTCAGTGTCTTTTACCTGGAGGACAACACTGATCTGCTATCCCATTGCATTTTTGTTTTTGTTTTCTCATTTCCTTCTTTCCTTCTGTCTCATTAAATTCTTACGGCGGTGACCTTGGAAAAGGGTTTTGGTCCAATGAAATTTCAACCGCATGTCTTAGACAAGACGGATTCCTTTTGTATTGCACCTGAGCTCATGTTTCGAGATTGACCTTCGGTCTTCACCTCAGTGGAAGCGCAAGGAAGGAAGAGAGAAGGTCAAAGACCATTTAAGTGCAGAACCAACACGATTGGCAAATTTATTCTTATATTACTTCGCCCACGGTATTATCATTTTAGCGCTTTTCCGTCTTTAAACATTGCGCCAATCCATAGTTGCGCCAATTATAAATCTTGTATATAGTTTTTCTGTTGCATATTTTGTAAGCGCACCAATTAATCAATTGCGCTAATCTGTAAATATTCGATTGTTTTCGCTTATATAAATACTGGTATATATGTATTATTATTTTGAATCGCAGAGGAGTTGTATGGACAGATAGATATAATACAAATAACAACATTTATATGTCAATATATTCAAATAATGTCTTACCGGAGTAATTTGGCGAAATGTCAATGTGATTTACGAAAAAACCGCCATTAGTAATGCCAGAAAAGCCCACAGCCAACGTCAGGAGAACAATAATGATGATATGGTTACAGCCACGATAAAATCCAACACCAAACAACAACCCAGCCGGTAACATTAATCCTACAATACATTAAAAAAAAACATGATTATCGAACGAGTTTCTAGTGATGAAACAATTTGATAATCCAGAAAATATATTCTCTGCCCGATATCTTTGGTGACCGACAAAATAATAGACCTGGCATGAAGGCCAGGAATCATCTACCCTTCCGAACCATCCAGTGTCGCCTTTGTTCTGATGTTGGGTTAAAGTATATCTCTTTCCTATGTTCGTGATGTGATTTCGTATACAGGTTTTTATCTCTTCTTTCTTTTTATATTTTATCGCTTTATCCTCATTCAATTGAAACGTCTATATGTTTTCTATTTTTCATTACTATATTTAACCGTAATTCAATGAAAGCAAGAATCTTTAGAAGTCTAATGAAGGCAGGTGAACGCAAGTGACACACACATATGATTTCACTTATAAAACTCGGGAAATGATACAGCATGCCAAAAACGAAGTACACTACGCCATACAGCTGTTTCGTCCTTCTCAGACTCGTATGTGATTTAAATAGCCAAAAAGGTGGAAAGAAATATATATTCATAGACATCACATAGAGGTGTATTGGTTAATTTTGAATTAATAGGAGTGAAGTATGTATATTAAAAACTCTGACACTACTCAAAAGGGATTGTCATTGCCTTGAGGTTACGGTACACCTCAGGAACTAAGAAATCCATCAGTGGAGATAACCATCTTTTATCTTGAATGGTGAACATAGGATGCACAAATTTGATTGCACCTTGAAACTTTGGTAATAGATAGAGATTCCAAAAATGAATAGCACTGCACCAAACAAGTGGAATGGCATTCATGTATCCATCGGTGATGCAAGGGTCAAAGAGGAGGACATCCATAGAAAACAATAAAGTAAACGAAATTTCAAACAGGTCCTAACCTTTTTACCAAGCTTGTTTGATTATTTGTTTACACATACGCTGCGATCATTTGAAAATGCTGACAAAGATAATGAGGTCACTCACGTGAAAATTTTAAATGTCATCTAACTAAACCAGGGAAGCATGACATCGATTCGGTAAACTTTATTCTAACAACCAGTCGACAAAACAAGCCTTGAGAGAAACTACTTAAATGTCAGTAAATACAGAAAGATGAGAAATAAAAACATTTTGAATTATCAGAAAGCTCCAACATACTCTCCTCTTAGGATCATGTAATTGGATACAGCAAGTTAATTATTTTCCTCGAAGTTCTAACGTGTAAAAGAGAGATACTTTTGGTAGGTTTGTCGTTAAAAGATGAATAAATTAAAACAACATTTGAAATTGCAGTATTCTTTCTGAAGCAAAACTGAGATGCGGGTCGAATACTTCGTTCACGATCTCGATAACAAAAACAAAAACTTGATGAGAATACAATGTAGGTTTAAGTTTTAACTGCGTTATTGTAATTTTGCCAAGAATAAAATATATGTTCCAAGCAAATCCTGTGAACTTGTGATGTTATCAACGGTTAAAGGCAGTTATATATCCTACATATGTTTCGAAAAACTTCATATTTTCTTCATTTTTTTGACCCGTAGTATCATTGATGAACCCGATCTGAACAAAACGACCAAAAAGTACAGCAAAATGATCACTTTGTTTGGGCTGCGTCGACAAATTAAATTTAAGTATGCCAGTATTCCCAAACAATTATCAACGATCGATAAATCTGCTACTAATGTCATGTTAAATTGACAACTTGTACTTATGTAGCCCATAATTTATACTATCATTCTATGACAAAGCTAAATAGAATAGAATACAAGTGTATCAAGCTTATAATCTCGTTGCTAATATATGAATGATCTAAAACAAGATTCCATTAAAGTCATTTAATTAAAGGAATGGGTTACATGTATATGATCTTCGCATTATCTTAAAAATAAACTATTTCTACAAAACTAATAAGCATTAAGAAAGAAAAATGACATCTTTTGTATTTTGTGACCTTGCATTAGGTGTTTTACACATGTTGAGTGAAGTAATCTTACCACATGCCGTGAACAGTTTCCTTGTATTTTTGGTTGAAAGGAAATGATTTTTACGCAGGTAGTCGGCCAGAGGACCTGCTCCTATCTGACATAGCCACGAAAAGATATAGGGTACGGCCGATAACACACCATTCTAAAAATAAATCAAGGATATTATTTAAAATATGCACTTCCGACTAGCAATCTATCTCAAAAATATCAAGCTATAATGTTGTATATTTGTCAAGCACTATAGCAGACTCATTTTATACTCAGATATATCAAACTAGATAGTACGACGACGCGAAGGCAGACTAGGATGCAAAATATATATGACAATACAACACGTAGACACGGTCATTTCAGATATATCAAAAATAATGTGATTCTGCGCGTAGATTGACTCAGACAATGACCGTGCCCTGCACGTTGACACATTTTATTTCAATCCTAATCAATTTATTCTTTATTTAGATATGATCCGGGGTATATTCTACAGCTTATGAACTGGTAAAATGCATATCTCCAGATGGATAAGTTTATATTATTCTTCAGATAAATTGATGCGATACTTTCTATTGATTTAAACCCCTACCCAGTATCACTGGCCAGTATACAGCTTCACTGACACAATTAATTTAATGTTGATGGACGATGAAATGTCATGCTTTATCCCTTCACAGGCAAGCATTTGTTCTTATTATGTATTACAAACCCTTCCATGACTATTGCGTTTTGTATACGAACCGATATGTGTTCAACTCTTTTGAGGGAAAAATGCGCCTGATTTTTATCAAAATATGAGACCAATGTGGGTCCATCTGCAAAACCTTAGGGGACGTTGATAGAACCAAAATTGATATGCTTCCCCCACATCGCAACGACAATTGAATGTTTCTTGATGACAGTACAGTCTTATAAGTGACAAGAAAGATGCTATTATGTCTGCTCGTCAGAACATTAGTCTTAGACTGTGAAATGAGCAATATCGCAGAAGAAAGAATGTTAATTCGCCAGTCATTAAAGCGTGCCTTCATTTAAAAACTTGTGCGTCGACAGATATTGCACCAAAAGACATAGTTCATGTGTACTAGACATGTTGGTTTATCCCAAAATTATCAAACAGACTTGGGGATCAAACAAACTTGGATATTTGTACGAATATACAGTATAGCGGGTAATTATTTGCGGCAGTATTATTTTTGCACCATTCGGATCAATTCAACCAGTCAAACAGATGTTTGCGGTGCTATTTTTAGACTTCATCCGATTGACGTGCCTTTATACCTGACCTATCAGATGTCGGTGTAGACGTGTCATATGAGAGTAACGTGAATTCTGCACTTCGCACTGCACAAATTCAAAGCTGTATACAGTAGATTAAGTGTCTTTCCAAGCAATGTAATACTTGTGAATTTATGATTATGTTATTTTGGAAATAATAAAAAAAGACATAGTAATCAGTTGTTTTGGTTTTAAATTCACACCAAAGCGATAAGGACCTGACCGGATGAAATTGTCTAGTTGGTGTCACTTATCACCATTGTTGACCATATAAAACTTACAGAGTAAAACGACGTAAAATAACAAAAAATAATTTTCATATCTTAGTACCACGCAACCTTACGAATATTTTCAATGTTGAAGAACAATCTTACTTGAATACAGATTAAAAATGTTTTTGCACATTAATTAAATATAGTTTTACCACATTGATATCAAACTTGAGTATGTGTTTCATGTACAAGGGTAGAGTGGTCAGCATGGTATATAGTCCCCAGTTGTTGGCAAAGTGACCAGCACAAATCCCCCAAACCGCCTTAGACCTTAGAATGTCCTTCAATGGGGTTCGCGTATTCTACAAGTTTAAAAAGAAATGCATAGCATATGTCGTCATTTGTGTAATGTTAAATGCATATTGGCATCTATCTTAAAATTGAAAAAGTGTAGATATATGACGTTGCTGTCTAAGGCGATCCTGAATTATCATTAATTGTATGAGGTATATGTGAAAATATGGTACGTTTATGCGGACATTGTCTTCTCCCAAAAACCTTTTTTTTATTTTTTATTTCAACACGTTTGATTCACAATGGTGAACAGAGATATGTCATATATACCTGCGTGGTAATAAAGATGGATACAGTATCAAGGTAACACTGGAGTTATAAATTTATAAATAATAAATACTTTCATGAAGGGGAACAGAAGGCTTTGGAGATGTTTCAACATAATTGATATATGTTGCTTCCCATTGCATACTTGTACGAGGCGACTACTCTGGATCCTATTACAACTGTTCACATATACCCATAATTGATATACTGCCCCTCCAAACATCGTGGATATTTGTTTTATTTTGCTCTATCCACTCTCTCGTTTCGGTTGTGTCTCCCCTAGCACCTCCGGTGAGAGCGCTGTTGGAAGGACGGTTGATTTTCTAACTAACGTGCCCTAAGTTTGACATATGAGTGGGATAACATGGGCAACAGGCCCTTGATTCTCCATATTGTCTGTGTACAACACCTGCACATGACTTTAACTTTTGCGCTGACGCAAATCCCTGAACCTGCAGCCAATCAAAAAGGAATCGTCTTTTGTTGAATAATTAAGTGTCAAGGCGTTAACTAAGCTTTATGAAAAATGTATCTATACAAAAAGACGTTTCGATACCGTATGGATTCCCGCGGACGTCTCTATGTGAGTCCGCTCCTCTAAAGTTATCCTTGGATGAGATGCCGGAGAGTTGTATGCGAACGTACACCATACAAGAAACCACAGACATCCAAGACCACCTATAAAAGAGCAAAGTGTTCTCATATCATTATCATAGCTGAAAATAAAAAGAGGTATAAACTAACAAACAGATAACGTGGATAGAAGCAATAAACAGATTCAGCAGACAAGGCAAAATCCGAATTCAAAGTGAAGATTATAAAAGACAGGATTCAATTGACAAAATACGCCATTACAAAGACTTAAATGAATAAAATCAAAGTGCTTATGACACTGTTTGTGTGTGCCCTCATGTGCGTCTCTCTATCTGTATTGGGTATACTCATTATGCTTCCATTATTTACTGTACATAAATATTTACCGTATATCCTTTGTTTCTTTACTTTTCCTTTAATTACATAATTACTATATTGTCATACTTACTGTATTTACATATCTACCGTGTTTCCTATGTTTGTCTATATTTATTGTATTTACACAATTTCTATATTATCATATTTACTGTATTTCCATTTTTACTGTATTTCCTATGTTTGTCTATATTTACTGTATTTACATAATTACTATATTATCATATTTACTGTATTTACATTTTTACCGTATTTCCTATGTTTGTCTATATTTACTGTATTTACATAATTACTATAATATCATATTAACTGTATTTACATTTTTACCTTGTTTCCTATGTTTGTCTATATTTATTGTATTTACATAATTACTATATTATCATATTTACATTTTTACCGTATTTCCTATGTTTGTCTCTATTTACTGTATTTACATAATTACAATATCATCATATTTACTGTATTTACATTTTTACCGTATTTCCTATGTTTGTCTATATTAACTGTATTTACATAATTACAATATCATCATATTTACTGTATTTACATTTTTACCATATTTCCTATGTTTGTGTACATTTACTCTTTCTCTTGTGTATAATTACCAAACACGTAGAACACCGAAGGCCAGCCTCCCAGGAAGTCGGAGTTGCATAACCACCCGGATATAGGCAGGACCATCACAACGCCCAACTGTGTACCTGTAAAAGATGAATACAACACGCACACAGGTAATTGTACCTGTGGACATTTGGTAATAGATACAGTATGTCAAAAATTAATGACACTGCATCATATACATGTGTCGTCCTTCTATGACTGATACCAGGGACAAAAAGGTGAATTTCCAAATTGTTCTAAAAGTTGCATGAAAAGCCCTTTGATGTTTACATGATCTCAAAATTAGAGAAGTACTTGTTAATAGCGAATTACATAACTAGTAAGTGTATATATTATGAACTGTGTCACAACTTAAAAAAAGATAATTGTGGCAATCAGCGTCACGGCAAACCTCGGGGACTAAGAAATCCGCCAGTAGAGTCTACCGCCTTGTATCTTGAAAGTGAACGTAACGCACACATGTGATTGTACCTTTAAACTCACACTGCATCATACAGCTGTTTTATTCGAGGTTTCATCCTTCTAGAACCATCTGACGTTGAGAGATGATTATTTCTGTGACCGATACATGCTACCTTGCTGTGATATGTTTATTTACAGACATAAAACATTGTTTCTGAATTATGAATGGTAGTTCATATTTATTGATTAATTAAAAAAGATAAGCATACACATATAAAAAATAATAATAATTCGAGGTTCTTATAAACCGCTTTATTACAACCTAGTTCGTAGGTCGTCTCAAAGTGGTTCACACATTATTATCCGTGGTTATAGGGCCTTTGCAACCGGCCAATATGTTTCTCAACTCCCTGGGGAGCATACAGCCGGTGTTTTCATGTCGGGGCTCACAGATAGCATTCAACAATTCTAGCACTGCCAAACCACGTAATCAGTTACAGCTGCGTAGACTGGAACAAGCGGAGTAAAGTTTATTGCTCAAAGATTCGGTCACGAGCCCGGCGTCCTACCACTTGACTACCGTGCCAATTGATAACTTATAAATAGGGAAATTGTGTTTGTAAGAAAGAACAATCACACGACCTCGGCTTAGGTTAGTAATTGTTAAGATTACGTCATGGAAAATACTGGTACAGACCTGCATAGGTGAATCCTGCTAACTTGCTTCTTTCAAATTTAGGAGCCCATTTGCCCCACATAGCACTCATTGCCGGAAACGTCACTCCCTGACAACAGACGCTGCGTGTAACTTTAACAGTAAATATACAAATGCCGTACGTTTTGTATTATCTTATTAATAACACTAATTATGACGTTAGAATTAAGAAAATGGCATAACGTCGAATTGAAAAAACGGGACAAGATTTCAAACTGGAAATGTGACACTCATTATGTCGTTAGAATTAAGACAACGGCATTGTAACGTTGTAAAACAAAACACAAGATGTATAAATGAAAATGTTACACTCATTCCTACGCCAGAATGAAAAATATCATATTATTTACCAGGAACACGACGTTAGAAAGGCGACGTTGACGAAATACTTCAGGTAGTATTCGTAGATGATACACAGCTTTTCACACAATGTTTTCATGGTTTGTCGTGAGAATAATTTACTCATCGCTCGCACGTGGATGAAACCTGCGTTGGACTCGATGTTTCATCCACTTGTGCGCGATGAGAAAATTGTTCTCACGACAATGTCTGCAACCACAGTGTGATAATCTAAAGGCAGAGATGATATGTTACTTGCCGCTAAATAACCGATATCGAAAGTATCGTTAAATTAATTGTATATTCGATCAAATTTAGAGCCTCTCGCGGAAAGATTTTATATAGGCTTGCCTGTTATTCAATCCATTTGACTATTACATCTGTCAATAAAATATGTTGAAATGAAATGAAACAAATATCGAATACCAAAATACCTTTATCAGATTAATATTCTGTCTTTGCGTATTGCAGAGTTATCTTCTCTTGGGAGCAGGTATTGATTGTTACGTCATTGGTTTGTGTGAGAAAATTACGTCGTTTTCTCAAAAATTGATGACGTTACTCTCACAAACAAGTGACGTAACAATCAATACCTGCTCCCAAGAGAAGATAACTCTGCAATACGCAAAGACGGAATAGGATTACATTAATGATAAAAGAACAAACATGATATTGCTTCCCCACTACATTAGCAGGGATAAAAATGAAAAGCAGATGATGAATATAACATTCCTCTCCAAGATAAATATCAAATTTTTAGATATTAAGAAAAGGAAAATCATAGCATATCTCCACACAACCTTTGTCATAGATGAAACTTGGGAGAAAAGGGAAAATATAGCAAACCTGTTAAAGACTATTATTAATGATGAAAATCTTGGTAAAAGGACATGTACACAGGAACCACTACCAAATCCGATATGAAAAACAATATTGCAAAAAGGATAAAAATATACCACTGCACTAACTATTTTAAACCTATGCAAAGAATAAAAATATGGCAAAAATGATACAAACATCCCTGCAGGACGTATTTTAAACCGATGTTAAAATATGAAAATATGGTAAAAATGATAAACTAACCATGCAAGACCTTTATGTATTTACAAGAGTACATCAACAGTAAACCGATGAACTTGCCGACCGACATTTTCGTGGGAGATTGATAGCATGGCGAACATCTTATGTACCTTAAACCTTATGCAATAGTGATGCAAACAGGGCGGTATCAGGTTTTAAGAAATATGGAGTGACGTTTGTTTGAACAATTTCCCGACAAAATAGTATAGTCTGTATTTGACACCTTACACCTCGATGTACAAACTTGACATGCAAGCAATCTCGAGTTATAGGTGACAGTAATTTGTTTGAAAGAATAACTTCGTAAATTTTCGTGAAATTTGAGTGACAGATTTGGAGATTTCTAAGAAACGTCCGAACAGAAAGGATAAAGCCAATATAGACCCTACCAAGATAATATTACAAAACGAACTAGAACACTGACAGGTCAGTAAGGGCCCCGTCTTGTGGCAATATATCCCCCATAATCATCAAGAAGCAATCTGCCCATATAGCTGAGCTTGACGTTTGACATTTGGACTTCAAAAAGAATCGCAAGGAAGCAAAATATACATTTTACATGTACTATGATATGAGTCTTGTTTCCTTCCACCTCCATATTTGCTGGGCTAACAGAAATGTAAATACCGGTGCAATACTCATTTGTTAGCTTTGATTTGTTTTATTTCACCTTA